AGGCACACACACTATGTTGGTAAACTAACTGTAAAACAATGCCTTGGGGAGAAGGAAAGGTGTGTGGGTTTCAGGATGGGGTAAATACCATGCTTTTCAATATCATTTTTATGTGAATACTGGTAACTGATGCTTTAATAAAAATAAAAATGGCACTATTAAAATAGTTGGTGGTGGTGCAAAGCTTCATAAACAGATTCAACATTTTATTTACAGGTTTCATTCAGTAGAGAATACTTCCTCATTATTACTAGAACTTTGTACTACTACTACTACTACTAACTGGATAGCAACTGCACACTTATCTAACACTAAGATTTTGGAATTTAGTAATAAGTAGTAAAAATACTACTTAAATAACACTACCAACAACAGCCACAAGAGGAACCAAGGCTGAGAGCATGTATGGCTTGTATAACACTCCCTAATTTAATCCTCAGTAAACTCATCAAGTAGTTAATAAGATCTCCAATTTAAGATAAAGAAACCCTCCAAGAAATTAGGCAATGCCCACTATCACAGGGTTAGTGATAGAACTAAGATATATACTCAGGGCTTTAAATTTTCAAAGGTAATGTTCTTTAGGATATACCATACTACTAATACCAGTTTAAGAATCTGACAGAATAGGCAAACATAATCCCATTATTGTTACAATGTATGGAATAAGGTAAAGAATTTTTATATAAATGAATGATTACAAATTTTAATTTTGCCCATATATTTTTAAAAATAAGAAAAAGCTATATCTGATTCATTTTAAGACAGTCTCCCAAAATGTTATCTTTAGCTAAGCTTCCTAAAAGTACAATAGTAGTATCATAAGCTAAGATACCAAACAAAACAGAAAGACACAACTACGTGGATGAACTAAAGCCAGCTCTCTGACTGTACCAGATCTGAAATACGTGAAACTATTAAAGATGGAAAAAAAAGTTACTTTGGACTCAAATGGTAGAGGGTATGGAACCTGGGATTAGGGGCTTAGGGGTTTAGGGACTTAGGGAACAGCCATTACCCTAGTTGAGGCTTTTGGGTTTTTTTAAAAGCTCGAATACAATGAAGCAGCGCCTCAAAAACTCACAAGAAAAATGAACAACGCAGAACTATCAAGCATCAGTTTAGGAAGAAAAAACAAACAAACAAAAAAAAAACAACAGAGATTTTAGGCAGCGAAGTTTCAAACGTTTCCTGCATGGCATACGTTTTCAAGAAACTACTAGAGCAGTTGCTCTATTAACAAACCAAGAAAGAGAAAGAGGAGAACCAGGAATTCTCTGCATTACTGATGGGTAAAAGGAAATACTAGCATGATAAATGTGTTGCAGGCACAGAAAGCAACCAAGTCAGACTACGGAGCTCCATCAGAGCTATAATTAGGTGAAAGTGAAAATGATAGCCACCTTTCATTGGGAAGAAACTTACACTTCTAAATAAAGATGAATCAATGACAGGATACATAACAAAGCTAAGGAAACAAAAACACAGTTGTTTTTATAAACATAATTAACTTGAGGAAAAATAAAACCTTGTAAAATAAAGGAAGTGTAGTCATGGTATGCCAAATTTCAATGGTGACAATTACCTACATGTCCAAAAAATGGACATATCGAATACTGAGAACCAACAATTTTGTAAAAACTACTTGAAGGATGGGGGAAAAGGATTCGTGTGTATGGTTGAGTATGTGTGTGTGTGTATGTATGTGAGGGGGGTAACTGTAAACAAAACCTTCATTTTCTATTAATAGAAAGTCCACAGATATTATCTAAAAATGTTTTTTAAAGTGAGAAATAGCAGAATAACCATGATATATTTTAAAAACCAAAAGTGAAAAATTATCTCTATGGGAGTGTGAAGGGGGGAAAGGAAGGGAGGCAGGAGCTAAAGAGGTAATTCTTTCTTATTATAAACCTTGTTAAATCCAACTTTTAAAGTACATAATATTTGCCCTGACTGATGTGGCTCAGTGGGTTGGGAGTCAACCCACAGAGCAAGAGGTTACCAGTTCAATCCCCAGTGGGGGCACATGCCAGGGCTGCAGGCTAGGTCTGAGGTTGGGGGTGTGCAAGAGGCAACCAATAGATGTTTCTCTTACACACTGATGTTTCTCTCCCTCTTTCTCCCTCCCTTCCCCTCTCTCTAAAAAATAAGTAAGATTTTTAAAAAATAAAAATAAAATAAAATATGTAATATTTTAGTTTTTAAAAATTTAGTTTAGCCCTGACCAGGTGGCTCAATTGATTGGACTGTTGTCCTGTACACCAAAAAATTTAAATACAATTTTTTTTTAATTACGATAAACTGAAGAAAAAATAAAAACTAATCCAATACAATTTCAATGTTAAAGTTAAAAAGTTTTAACAAATTTTTTGTTTCAAAATAAAAGGCACAATTTCTAATAAAGCCAGTACACAAGGAACATTAGATTCAGAACAACGGGCCTTCTTCTGAAGTGTACTTTACCAGTAGACTTAAAACTTGCTCAATTCTATAGCATTCTGCCTCACAACTGAATTCATTTTATTCTAATGAAGCATTCTCTATACTGTATACCTAGAACTAAATTATGTTCAGTAATTGTTGACTCTCAAAAGATAGCTTATCATATATACATATCACACTGTATTTTATTCTCTCTCTTTCTCTCAGTAGTAGTTTCTTGCCTTTCTAGTCTAGTCCAACGACTCTCTAGATGCTCACAATGGTAGGCAGGATATGTTTTAAATGGATAGAAAACTCCTTTTTCTTTTTCCCATTTCTTCCTAAAGTTTACGGGGAAGTTCATTTTTGTTTAAGTAGATTCAGTTATTTTACTATTAGGAGAAAATGAGTGCCCCAAATATTTTATGTTTACTGAAAAATTATATGTAATAAAATATTTCTAAGCTTCATAATGAACAGGTCAGTTATTTTTAGATTTTGTCCTTTAATTATGTATTTTGGATCTGATACATATAAATTAACAATGCTAATATTCCCAAGTGACTGCCTCTTCTCTCTCTGAAGCGTTTTTCTCCTATGATCATTCCCACCTCTATTCCAATCTATGTACTAAATTTTTGAGCTACTGTAATGTTCATGGTCACATTAAATCTAAAAAGATACTTTGGAAAGGTAGCATTTATATCAAAGGGCATGTTTAAGGTCACTGTTCTAACACTGAGTATAAATTTTTAGGGATAGTCATAATTTTTTCATGCATCCAATGAATATTAATAGATAAATTACAAGGCTGGCTACTTGACAGGATTCAAAGACAGACAATTCATACTTCCAACCCTCAATAAGCTTAAAATCTAATAGAAAAGTTAAATACCCACAGTTAAAAGAGAAAACAAAATAACAGCAGCAGCAATCAAGCTCAAATCTGTGGACATATTTCTAGGTACAAAAATCCTTGGCCAACCCTAAAAAAAGGTGCCCAGGGAAAAGGCAAAAATCATTGAGGTTCACACTAGTTCCTGATTCTACTAGCTATTTTCCCAGGGTTCTTTTGGAAGCTCTTACAAAAAACCAAAATGCACCGACATGTGCAAACCTGAAAAGTATTGTACAACTCCTTCTAGAGTATGAAAAAAAACCTAGTACTGAAACCACTTTCTTCCACAAATAGATCAATATCTGAAGTCACTGAGTACTTACTATGCCTAATTTATAAAGACCATTTAGAGCACTATACCTTTTTTTGAAGCAGTAACATTTGTATAATCTATTGAGAATGTGAGAGAACACATCTATGCAGACTAATTACACAGATACCGTACACTGTCTTCCCCAGTTCATGATGTCAGGTCACTCATGAAAGAGATAATTAGGAAAAAAAAAACACAAAAAAACAAGCAGAACATAACAAGAATATGGACTCTTGTCAATAAGTGGCAAAGAGTAAACCATGAAACATGAAAGTATATAGAAACACTCATTCTGAATAACCAAACCTCAATGTTGCAAAACTGTAACACTGTATCAATGTATAAATCAAAAATCCTAAACATCTATTCTTTCTTTAAAAAATAAAAATAAAAATAACAGAGGGCACAGTCTCCCACCCAAGTAGTAACCTGGACCAAGTGCTTAGCTTTGGGGATCAGGCACCTTCAGAGTGAAATGGCCTAACACGCAGCTGTTGATTCACCTATTTCTTATTTTGGCTTTACATTCCTAAGTTTTTCTTTTGTTGTTGTTCCCTCTTGTGTGTATTTTTTTTTAAATGGTAATGATGATGTTATATCTGTAACTTGCCTGAGTGAGAAATAAAAGGAAAAGAACCGAAGAACGTGGCTGACAGTTACTTTAAATGTATGTATTTAACAAAATCTTTATCTTCTACCAAAGCATGATTTCTTCCTTTTCCAAGGTTAAACTCATTTTTTCTATTATAACCATATACACAAAAAAGTCCATTTATGCCAAAGTGATATCCTACTCCAGCATAATATCCTCAACACTGTTAACTGGGTAATTACTTTGAAAATATCACTACAAATATTTTCAAATGGTGAATAAGTAATATTGAAATTCTGGACTGAAATCAAAGCAAGGATGTAAGAACAAAAGAGTAGATTATTAATTATTGCGACAAATACAGAACTAATATTTTTAAAATGCAGCTACGAGAGCATGTTTAAACTAGGAAAATATAGGATTGTTAAGCACAAGCTAAGCATAAAAATACATTGTTAAGTATTTTTACTATATAAACAAGAGAAGTTTTATGCACACAGATTTTTTCCAATGGTATCCAATAGTAAAGTTGAAAAGAAACAGTTACGGTTCTATTATGTAAATCAGCATTTTTCTATGTTGGCAAAAAGGACAACTGAATAACCCAATGGAAAATATGACATTAAGAAGACTAGGAGTCCTAATGGTTTAAATAATTTACTATTCTATTTTCTGTAACTAATTTACTTTATATTAATAAGGATTTTTGTTCTTGCTCTTGTTCTTGTGTGTATTTTTTTAATGATAGTGCTGATGTTACATATGTAACTTGCCTGAGTGAGAAATGAAAGGAACAGAACCAAAAGGATCTTCTGGAGGATGGTTATGTGGAGCAGAAAGTGGGTCTACATTCTTATCTGAGGATGCTCTCTCCTTGAGCCTGTCTGCAAAAATAAGATGGAACAAAACAAAAAATAAAACAAAATAAAAACAAAATGGTCTTTAAAAATTTTTTAAAGTGGTTTACAGCATAAATTAAAGTGAAAATTAAACAAAGTTCATTTTAAATTCAGAGTTCATTTTAACAAGTATCCAGGGCAGCCCTGAGTTTCATATACATTTGTTGCTACAAAGGGCAAGCTTAACAATGTAATCTCAGGGTTAGATTTCACTAAATGCAATTAACCTAGCAACTTGGTTTGGTTTACCTAAATACTAGTTGTCTTCGATTTGTAACATATTAGGCCTGAACTTAAACCCTGCTTACTAAACAAGACATATCTGGCAGACTTTCTCCATAAATAAACACGAAAAAAAATATTGCTCATTCATAAAACAAGTAAATCCTCTTGTTCAATAGTAATACAAGGTAATTCACTATATTTTAATTTAATGTTCATTTCTCATATTATTTATAATTATTAAAACATTCACATACAGGTACAAAGATACAGCTATCTCTTTACTAAATTAAATGACTTAATGATATAGTTTATTCATCCAACAAATATTTCAGCATCTCTACTGGGCATGCAACATTAAAAAAAAAAAAAAGACTCAATAAGCAAATGAGAAATACAAATGAGGTATGTTAAAAACAAATAAACCTACAGAGAAAAATGTCATAGTCCCTGGGTAGGGTAAAAGGAATTAAGAGAGATACTGATTGGATGGTTCAGGGAAGGGCTCTGAAATTCTGTACTTCAACAAGCTCCCAGGTGATATGATAGTAGCGGTCTGGGAAGCACACTGTTGGGAAAGCAAAACCCTAGAGTCTATAATACCCTGAATACACTCATACTTAATTATTGCTTTGAACAACTAATTCTTAAATATCTTTATGATAATGGATATAATTCCTAGCTCTTATAGCTAAAACTCGGCAAAATCCACATGAAACTTAGGTTTACATTTTTACTTAAAATTTTGCTGTAAAACTAATAAATATTTTGTTAGGGAAACACACCTGACAATTATGGCAGACACACAAAACTTCCAAAACTTAAGAACTAGTTTTCAAATCCAATACTGCAATGGATAACAATGAAATTTTATTTTAGGTGTTCTTTTTCAAGATAGTAACTGTATGCTTGATTCAGGAAGTCAATAACAAATACTGATTGCAGTATGAAAAAAATTTAAAAAATACTTTGTTGTTCAATACTTATTAAAGAGAAGTTAATCTTTGCATATTGCATTGTGTGCCCACCAAAGCAATGCAATATGCAGATCATGTATGATAGCAATGTACATTTGAAACCTATATAATCTTATTAACCGATATCACCCCAACAACTTTAATAAAAAATTAAATTAAAATAATTTTTGAACATTAAAAAAAGAGAGACATTAGTCTCATTGCATATTTCCGAAAAAATAAGACTGGCGAGTACTTTACATAACCAAGAATCTTTAATTTATTGTAGTGGGAAGCCACAGTCATGCCGTAATAGAGGCCTAAAAATCACTGAATCATGGAGGGTACCTGTGGTTACCAATGTTATCAGGCCCTGAGTGCATTTATGGAGGAATTTTAAAACCAGAAGCTGTTTCTTGTAACAGAGTCCTAGACTCCCCCTATTCATTCTTCATTTCCCCAAATCTGGTGCACAAAAGAGAAAGGACAAAGGAAAGGGGACGGGGAAGGACAAATGGAGAGGCTGTCTCAGAGTGATAGCCACAGCATATCACTATCCAAAAGCCCTCAATCTTGAAAAATAAAGAGAGTACATAGGTACTTAGGTCTGAATCAGGACCTGACTTCCCTCCTAAACCATCTGCATCAATCATAATTGCCAGGATTCCTGTGTAAAAGTTACCTGGAACCTACCGCAGATCTAATGAAACAGAATATATAGGTGGGAACTTGGGAATCTACATTTTAATATAATCTTCAGGTTTATAAACTATTGTACCAATGGTTCCCAGAACATAAAAATGCAAAGTTACCACTAAGATTCTTTAAATCCTTACACACTGGTGGGTGACTTCATGGTAAACGTATAAATAGCACCATGTAGTTATGATAAGAGAACAAACATTATGTAGGAGTAAACTACTACTTTTTACATAAGGGTCCCCATAATTAAAAATACGGAGACACGGTTCAATGCAAGGTCAATTTATCCAATTATTTCAAAACAGGTAACAGGATATCACATTGTTCCACAAAATATAGAATTAATTTTTCCACAGAAGATTTATAAAAGGTCATTTAGATTTCCAAAGTTCACATGATAATCTGGCTTCAGGGCACAAAATACAAGATAAATACACATTAATATTTTAAATCATTCATTATTTATAAATAAAAACTAATGAAATATTATATAGAGCTACTTTTGAAATACACAGGCACCCCTAAAATACATTTAAGTTCCACTTTCAAGTAACTGGTTTTCTTTACATTAGGGCAAAACTTTTATTTTTTTCAATATAAGAACTTACCTCTTCCTGCCTTCCTAAAAGAATGTGTTGGTAAATAAAGGCAGTATCTTTTCAAGAATTTTAATTGATATAGATGGCAAAAATTCAGAATTTAAAAATCCCAGAATCAGAATATATTCCATAAAATCTACCTTCAGAAGAATTAGTTACTCTAAAACATTAATTCAGTAGCTTATATAAAAAACAGCTTGAAGAGTCCAAAGATTAATAAATAAGATTTAAAAGTACAGTCTTCATCTGATACTTTTGAAATTGTTCTAATACATGAGAAAATTTCTATTTTTCTGCTCTGAAGGAACCTTAATAGGTCTGATTTAGCTTAACTTGATGAGAATTAATGTTTTACAACAAACTAAATTATATATACAGATGTTTATATCTATTTTACTCTATGGCTTCATAGGGGGAAAAAAAACAGTAGAATTTGCAAAACAGCCACAGTCTTTAGTTCCCTCCATTCTTTTAGTTTTGATGTAATTTGGAAGAAAAAAACAATAAATCCACCATCAACAAAAAGAATTCCATTCCATTAACTATTATTTTTAATTAAAATGTAGAGTTAACACAACTATTTGAACAAATGTAAGTTAAACATTTTCCCAAAGGAAACATCTGTATTCTAATTAGCATTTAATGTGTTAAATATTATGACGATTACATTTCTAAAGTTTACACACTAATCTGGCTGTTTTGGTACAATGTACAATACAAAATATAACTTAAATTTTTTAAAATCTCACCGAGACCAGCTTTATTAATAACACTCAATTTTAATTTAAAGTTTTGGCCTTAAATAGGAACAGGTAAAAAACAAACAAACAAAAAAAAAAACCAAAAAAAAACCCTGGAACCATAAATAATATTCAGTTACACTAAAAGCAAAAGCAAGAAGGATCTGGTTTATTTTATATGTTAAATTCTTTTGCTACTTGGTATATGGAATCAACTGTTTTCTTAAAGATCACTAAAAAAGTTTTTGTTACAATTACTAATATTTTGGAATTTTAGTGTCTTAAAATGTTATTTTAAAGTTACCTTCTGGGCAACACACATAAATAAAGTATTTCCTAGATACCATATCATTTTTCTTTTCTTTTTAAATAAATAACCATGTACCATTTTAAAAATAAAACCTGAAATAGGAATGAATTATTGTGAAAAATAATTAGGTGGGCAATGGCTATATTTTTAAGGAACACATAAAAGGTATTCAGTTTCTCACTGGAAAGCTTCTCATAAACCAAATATAAATTATTTCTGAAAAGCCTTGACAATTGGTGATAAAAACTGCTGGGGTGGGGGAAGAGATGAATTTGATGTTTCAAATGCATCAATGGTGTATTTATTCATTTTGGGAAAGTTGTTAGAGACAGAGAAACCAACCAGTGATGACCAACAATCAACTTTCATTATTACACTGTTAGCTTCCTACAGAAACTCTTAAGTTTCTGGAAAAAGTCTTTAGCCCATCAGCGTAATTTAAACTTGATCTATCAACTAGATCAAATATTAGCTGTCTTACTGCTTATGAGTGAAAGAGGTGCTGGAGCTGACTGAATATTACAGTTAGCAAAACATTAGGCAGAAGACTTTCTAAATTGTATTCTATATGTTACTGATTTCTTTATAAACTTTATTAAAGACATTTGACCTTTCTTGAACACCATTATTATGACTATCAATTACTAAAGGAAAACCAGGCATTTTTCTGTATCTCCTTTCTTGCTGTTACCTGTCACTCTTGATGCTGTGTTTGCACACAAAGTTCCTTCTAATTTGATTTATTAATTGCCAGCTGAGAAAATTGATAGTTTAAATATAATTTTAAATGGTGGTTAAAGGGTAATAACTGCATAGATTGGAGCTAAGGACGTATACAAAAGGTGAGATAAGGGGAGGTGGCATTTTATTGAATGCCCAGACTCTTTAAAGACATTATTTCATTTAATTTTCTTGAGAACCCTAAGAGGTAAAGCATCATGACACTCAGTTTTAAATGAGGAAGTGAGACAGCAGTTAAGTGACTTGAATGAGATTACAGCCTAATTAAATGGCTGTAATGTTCTGGTGCTATTGTGCCAATCTAAGTGCATCAGCATGTGACAGTGATTTCTGTAATTTAGGGATCATCTAGGCAGTTTTCCAAATGGATGAGTTGCTCCAAGTCTGACCTTCACATAAAGCTTCCCCTGCACTTTCATTTGGGACTTAACATCTTGCCATACCTAGCAAGACAATGAAGTCTGAACTCTCTCTAGCACATACATGTGTGCACAAATACATACACAAATTGCTCATGTTATCTGACCTTGAAGTTTGAAAGCAAATAGCCAGATAAGACTTTTACATGCTAAACCAATGTCCATGAAGTTCTGCATACATGAATATTTATATATCATTATTGCCTATATGAAGTAAGTAAAACTTGGGTGTCATTACAAATTCTAGGAAGCTAAAAATAACACATTTTTATAAGGTCAATATAATGTGAATTCTTTACCCAATGTATAAATTGTTTTTTCCAAAAAGGAGAATTTTACCCAAGGAGTGGAAAATACTGATTTAGCGAACCGTTGGTTACTATCCAGTCAGAAAACATTAAAATGGGTATTTTAATTTTCCTATTGCCTTAAAATAATTCTATAAATTTTAATGATCTGGTTATCCCTTGCGTCTCCCTGCCAAGCCCCCAAAGGAGATACTTTGTTTCCTTTTTTAAAACCTTGCTTTGAAGGTCACTCAACATAAATTGTAGGAAAAATGTCAAACAAAAAAGTTGTGGTTAAAAACAATTGTAAAAAATAGATGTAAGATTGGCTTTACCAAAGTTAACAAACCTTTATTAAAGGCTCAGAACTCATTTTATATCTGCATGTAATCATCAATTTAATTTTTGATAATCATATAACCAATACGTAAAATACAAATTCAAATCCAAACAACTATTCTTATATTAATTCAAGGCATTTAAAATTTTACATAAAATATATACCAATTTGGAACAAAGCATTTCATCTAATAAGTGTTCTCACAAGGCCAGTTACCTAAAACACAATAGAAGCTAGGAGTGATTAACTGGGGATCACTAAGATTTTCTTTTCATATGCAGAAATGGGTAAACACACTTGGATGTGCATACACACGTGTATACATACACACACACACACATACACACACACACACCCCCCCCACACACACACAACCCCTCTCAAAAACCTGAAAATTATCTACATACTCCAGAAATAAGCTTTTTGCTCCTATTTGGCAACCTTCCCAAAACACTCCACAGACCCCTTTCCCCTAAAGGAACTCCTAAAATATGTATGGCGAGGATTATCGTATATATTAGGTAGTTTAAGAAAAGGCAATGATTCCAAGTAAAAACAGTGAGATAGCTGATTTAAAGTAGAAAAGAATTTATTTAACTTTTGCCATATCAGGACAACAAAGCAGCCCTTTAACGTCACCACTCATTAAAAGGGCATCACAAAACATTAACATAATGTAGCAGCCCATGTTTTCTTTCAGGCACTTTCAAAGGGCATCTCAGACTCACAATATCTTCTATTGAGTGTGCCAAAAAACAGAGCTTCAAAATGATTACTAGTAAGGCAAGATATGAATGTCTCTGTTTTTATTTGAACGTTATTCTTCCATGTTTTGGAGATATTCTGAACTTAACATCAAAGATATGCAATATATTTAAGTGTCAGGAATCAGTGTATTAGCCGCAATCTTGGGTTTAATAGCTACTAGCAAGCAATTGAGTTCTAATGCACACAGCACAGTTTGATAGTATATATAAAAAAAGGTAGCCTGATTTTTGCCCTCAAATGCACAAAAAGAATTTTCTATTTACCCCCTTAACACAGTCTTTGGCCTTGCTGAATAATTATAGAGCTGTTATTTTACTGGGATGCAAAATAAGCCTTCAAGTGTCCCTTACTTGATCTTAGAAGGTCAAATTCTCTGTCCAAGAGTTCTTCTTCTGTTAACTTGGAGAAATTATCCTCTCCAAAAGGATTCCACCCTGACATATCAGGTGGGTTACTGATGTTCTTCTGATTTGTAATATTTGCAACTGCCTCTTTATCAGCAACTGACCTAGAGTAATAATTAAGAGAGGAAAAAGAAGAAAAACATTAGAATTGAATTTTTAAATGTCATACTTTACAGATGCTTAGAAAAGTGGATTTTGTATTATGATGGAGATGGCAGATAAGGATATGGATTGAGAGAAAAACCACCTGGGATTTGAACAGGCTCCATAAGTGCACTAACTATGTACCCTTGGCCAAGTACCTTAACCTCTCCATGTCTCAGCCTCCTCTCTAAAACAGGAGTAACATTATCTACCTCACAGGATTACTAAGAAGATTAAATGACTTAATATACATGAAGCAAAAAGAGCAGTGTCCAATAAAAAAAAAACAACAGTAAGCACTCAGTAACTATTAACTATTATCATAGTGAACAAGCCTTGAAGTGAGTATCAGTAGCCATATCAAACAGTTACCACTTTAAAATCACTACTTAGTAAGGTGATCCTATATCCTGGTTGAGAAACCACAATAACTTTCCTTCTGACAAAGCATTTTCTATGTAACTACCAACAAATGATTAACTGCTAGAATTGCTTTATGAATTAGCTAAACATATGCGGGTTATTTTCTATATAATAAATCTTTAATAGTATTTAAAGTCTATATAGTCTGAAGCCTGGGATCACTGGTTTTGTGAAAGTTATCTAATAGGCCTCTTGGCTTTCAAGAGAAGATGAGAGTCTAAAGACTTCTTAACCTAAGACCCCTGGTTATCTCTCCGTTCATTCCAGCCTGCAAATACAGGATAGGAATAAGGCAATGTAACAAAGTTGTCAAGTTCATTTCTAATTGAGAGCCAGATTTCCTAATACTGATAATGGAGGAACAATCTCTACATGCTTCTAAAGAAGAATCTCTATTTTGCAAGCCTTGACATGCCCTTAAATTCACCTGCCCCTTAGGAGCTCACTGCCATTGTCACCACACATGTCTTAATAGGAAGAGAGGGCAAAAGCTGCTCATTTTATCCCCTAGCCCAGGCCCCCTCAGTAGAGCTCACCCAAGAATGAAATTCTTAAGAAATTACTGAGAGCTAGAGGAAAGTAAACATAGTAACTGCCCAACAAGATTATACATATAATTCACTTTAGAACTCACTCCGAGAATGCACCAACCACCAAGGTTTAAGCCTGCCTCCGTATGACAGATTCCCATTTCTAAATTCAAAACTACCTTTGAGGACCTTCAAAACTCTAAGTTAAATGGGCATTCCCCTTACTGGCTGTCAGTCTCTTTCAGACTGTTCTGGCTCCCTCCCTGACTCCACCTCCTCCTGTTCCTGGGGTGAATGAATGGGTTCTTCTTGGCAGACTGTAACTCAGTGAGGTCATGGGGGCAGGGACGGGTGCCCTTAAACAGGTGTTAAAATGTCTACAAGTTCTCTGACACTCCACCCTTCCAAGGGGAGAACCAAATTCTCTGCCCTTGATTGTGGTCTAGATCTAGTGACTTGATTCTAACAAATGAAATATGGCTGAAAAATGGCCAGTGTGTGACTAAGTCATAAAAGGCACTGGAGGTTCCTTCTAACCCTTTCTTTTGGACCACTCATCCTGGGGGAAACCAGAATAAATTATTCCCTGTTCAAAGCAGTCTTTGGGTCTCTTAAAGAGAATACTTAAACAGCCTTTTGGAGAGATTCACTGGCAGAGAACTGAGGCCTCCTGCCCAAAGCCATGAGCGAGCCATCTTATCAACAGATCCTCCAGCACCAGTCAAGCTTTCAGCTGCCTGCAGCCACAGCCAACATCTTAACTGCAACCTCATGAGAGACCCTTCCCTGGACATAACCATACAGCTAAGCCATTCGTAAATTCCTGATCCAAAGAAAGTGTGTGAGATGTTTATCATTGTTTTAAGCCACTAAATTTTATAATTATCTGTAGCAACAAATAACTAACACACAGGGAGATTTAAATCATAAATAATATGTGCATAGATGTTTATTTATTTAACTATTATTTGAATACAACATGGTAATAACTCTCCAATATTTATACTAAAGATCTATTAACACAGTGGAGGATAGAAAATTTTAGCAGAACAAAAAGTCAGGAATAAAGGAAAATAATAATGCGACAACATGACCCTTTCCCTCTAAGGAAGTACTTGCTTTCCCATCTTCTACTCAAACATCCCTTACATGTTTAGGGCCCAACATTTACCCCCAATTCTCTTCTCCCACTGACTCAGTCATAAGCAGGAATATCTGCTTACAATTACCTTTTAAATTGTTATAATAGATATCACTTAACATATAATCCTTTGTATAAAGACTGACATTAAATAGGAACAATAATAGTGAAGTAGCATTGAGTCACGACCTGTGGCTGAAGCCGTGTTCCTGTGGGAAGTTCTATGCCTCTATTTTATAATTGGTTCTATCCATCCAGTCATTGCTCCTTTCCTGCACCATCCTCCCACCTCCCTCAACACACAACATCACAAAAGTGGAGTGAAACAAGTCTTAAACCCTTTCACAGATATCCAACCCAGGATTTCCCAAACTGGGATATGCAAGATAATTTTGATGGTACAACTTTTTTTTATTTTAAAATTATACAGAAATTAGAAAAATAGTTATCTAACATATCACACTATGATTCCATGAACAGTATCACTGGAGATGAGATTTGAGCAGACAGAGCTATGGTAATTCACATGAGTCAGAGGTATCAGCACCTCATGCGCTTATGTGTGCTTCAAATCTCTGGATACTCATCTTCCTTTATAACCAATCAGGAGTTTAGATAATAATATGCTATGGAACACTAACATGAATTCTCTCATGAATTTCCAATTCATGACTCCATTCTTTCAGTGACATTACTGTCAAAGGTGGTAACCCTTTAGACATAGAGTATTTTAAAGAATACATAACTGTATGCTGTTATCAGAGATTACAGTTTAATATTTTTGCATTTTCCAACCATATGCACTCAGCAAAATTGGCACTTTTGATGTTAGTTAACATCAAAAGAAAAATCAATCATCTAATTAATACAACAGCTTCATCAGTCTGTTAAACTAAAAGATATCAAGGAGAATATCCTTTTTTTAATGACAAACAAAATTATTCCATTCTTATCCCAAGAGGACTTATTTTCAGGTATGTCTTTTTGCAAATTTATTAGATTGGTACTTGCCATTTCGTAAATTATACTTTAGTGCTTTTAATTTGATTAAAGTATATAATGTTATTTGTTTAAATTTTATTATTTAGAATAATGCCATTGGTTTATTAAAGAAAAAAACACTATGTGGGTAAACCAAAAAAGTTGTAACTAGAGTATGCAAATGAAGAGTTTGGCCAACACTGATCTGGATCTTTAAGCAAGCTTCAATCTTACGACCTGCTCTCCACTTACACATACTGGTCCTAATTCATGCACCTTAATTTTTGATTGAGGAGAGCACTTAACATCAATTTGTTCCTTCCCTCCTTCCCATTGCCTCCTCTCCCACAACACACACAGGTTGTAAGGTAAACTACAACTATATACTTTAACTGTCTCTTGACGTGCATAGCAAACAAGTGTGCTACTAATGTTGCTGTTATTCATGTACAACTCCTAGCCAAAGCTTACAGACACCTTTTCCCACCTCATGATTCATATCCTGAAACAGAGTTGCATGAAAACTTATTCGATCTTCCAATAACCAAAGCTCTAACAGCTACTTCCTCCTACATATATAAACATATTAAGAAGTATTCGTAATGGTCAATGAATTCTTAGCTAAAAAATCCTGAAGATTTCCCTTGTCAAATCTAAGTTTGAGAAAATTTGTATCATAATTTCTTCCTTTATTATAATGCTTTCATATGAATTATCCATGAAAAATAACCCTATAACCAATATATCTGTATAACCAAAGTACACTGTTTCCCACATGTTATGGTAACAATAAGCTTGCTGTGTCATATCATTTTATTAAACTGATTAGAACAGATACTACACTTGATCTTAGCCAAAAGGCCAAGAAGTGATATATCATATCCTTTTAAAAAGGAACCAAATGGCACATTAAAATTTGTTACCTGTTTAAATTAAACCAAATTAGACCATTTTATAATATTAATTGAAAATAACAACATATAAGTTGAAAAAGTTAACTTGTTTACAAGGATTATTTTTTTTAACTAATAAAATAGTAGCTGCTGGATGCTGTTAAGCCTTCTCTACAAATAGCAGTTAGCCAAAATAACTAATAGAAATGTAAGGAAGGATGGGTAAGCAAAGGGAACAGAAGAGAGAACTAGCAAGAGAAAAGGGGGCACTATACAGAAAGGTGAGCTCTAAAGGAATTCAGGAGCCACTTAGTGACTCCACTTCACAATTACACCTACTTCCACAAGAATTCCTTTGCTTTCTCTGGAAAAATACTTGCCTATTGGCACTAGAAGAGGAGTCCAATATGGTTCCAACCTGAGCTGGAAGTGACGAACTATAGGAAACTAAGGCAGGTGAGAACTCTTGAGGGGAGGTAAGATACTCAGGTGATGCCAGCTGCTGAGATTGCTGATGTTGAGCTAGCATTTGCTGCTGCAAGAAAGCCTGCTGATACTGCTGCATCTGAAACAAGAAATGCCATTATACAAAACAACACTCAAATTCACTAAAGCACCATCAGCCCCACACCTATTTACTCTGTTCCTTCTTTTCACATTGGCAAGAAAATCAGAAACTTAAAAACTTACTTATATCTGAAAGAGCAGCTTTCTACTGGAAAAATACAGCAAGGTAAAATAAATCCAGTTAAGAAGTTGTGAAGCTAGGCTAATGTGGCAGGATTCAAAAATTTCCCTTTAAATATTTTAAGATTAAAAAATAGAGTAGCCTAGTTTTTAGTACATGTTGCTCTAAAGAAATGTCAAACTATTCTCTGAAGGAAATGCAATTTTCTTTTGAGTTTATTTTTCTTCAATTGACATTTGTCAAGTGAAAGAGAGATGACAAGAGATCACGGGTAACAGATCCATTTTCCTTATACTAAGAGATAAGAGAAAAATACTATCAGTCAATTACAATGTGCCAAATTCAGGTGCTACACTTCAGCCCACTATAAAGCTGTTTGAGAATACATGGCTGGATTTGATAAAATATGTGTAATTAACTAACTTGAACTGACTTTGAGTAATTCTGAATACTACTACTCATATTGTGAACTCAAACAGTATACTCAGAGAAAAATCTCTAGAAATTATATAACACTTACCATTGCAGGATACTGTGGTACAGAAGGCTGCGGCTGATACACCGAATGCATTAGAAACTGTTGTTGAAGTAACTGTTGCTGCTGCATTGCATGTTGATACTACAATGAGAAAAACAAGTCCATCAATATTACTCACGCATTTTTTTGTGCCAGTCTTCTTTTTTTAAGTATTGATCTTACCATAACACTGACTTGGGTACTCTGGAGTCCAAACACCAATGTAAAATAACTATAGCCAGTGACTATGACTTATATACGCTTATTGAAAATGGTTTCAGAATTATCAATGAAACATAAAAGATTCAAATAAAATCATTTCCAGCAGAGTTTAAGGATGCTGCGAAGAAACCTAAACCTAAACATGTTTGCCCCTTGATGAAAATCCCCAAGTTACTTGTGTCCAGGACTCATTACAAAAACCCACTCTCCTCCATCTCCCCTTCAATGATCTCTCCTGGCCATCACCTACTTAACTACCCTCCACTCAGGGTCTATCAGTCAAGGTCAGAGGAGGGAGACATCCAAGAGAAGCGTCATGCATAGAGCTGGTGCAAAAATATTTCAGGAAATGATGAAAGAATGATGATGACGAGAGTCATTAAGTTTAAAACAGTTCAGTGAAACTAGAAATTTCCACGTTCTGCTGAGGCAAAGAATAAAACTTAAGGTCACTGTTTACTATGTCCCTTTTAATCCTAAATGCCTGCCTCCACCATACATAAACACACCAACACAGGCAAAAATTTAAGAAGAAAACTAAGACAATGTTACTTCTGAAAGCTTAATATTGCCTTTCCAACAACAACTAATTATAGTCTATGGATTTGAACTCAAAATGTAACTAAAAAAAGTTCATCATAGATCACAGGGCTTGCTTATGATGCCAAAATGACTAGATGAACAAATTTGCACAAAACCATGATGCACCTATTTCAGCAGAGTATTCTTAAGTAGCTCACAGGATACATATAAAATGAATATTCTTTAATAGTCAGAAAACTGAGCAAAATGTTTACTTGGATTTAGAGTTCAGGTGCCCAAAATAAGAAAAGGAATTCATTGATATTGAAGAGCTGCATGAATTTCCCAACACTACTTCCGTATCTAAAGTAACAAAAGAACAACCTGCTGCATATAAGCATCCTGCTGCTGCTGCTGCTGCTGCTGCTGCTGGTGAGGATGACGATGCTGTAAATGCAGTTGCTGCAACCTCCAATCCCCTTGCTGCAGTTGCTGAAGTACTCTGTGTTGCTGCGGAGGCTGCTGAGGGGTCCCCTGACCCAGTAAAATCTCAGGACCGTTTCCAGGTCTCAGTGCTCCTAAAGGAGGTTTTCACAAAACTTAATTAACATACTCATGGATTTCAATATAATAGCTGTATTTCAAACCCCTTAATTTCAATAATCATTTAACCAAAGCATTTATATCCGTATCTTATAATACAGATACTTCCAAAGCATATAGTCTAAAGGGATTATTTACATAATTCTAAGTACCATGGAAGTTAATTTTCTCAACTACAACTCTGAACAAGTCAATGGCTTAGAAACATTTCATTTGTCGCGCTTCATCTCTCCATAAACAAACCAGCCATGTCAACTGTTCTATATTTCTAAATTATATCATGCACTGATATGAGTCTTTGCCAAAATGATTCTCTCCATCTAGAATGTTATTTCCCACCAACTGCAATTCTTCTTATCCTTTAAAGTTTAGCTCCAATGTCTCTTCCTTATTCTTTCACCCAATACTTCCACTCAATTCATGCCTTGCACATATTAATTGCTTGATGGATATTTCCTAACTAGGGCCCCAGAGGGACGGGGTAATAACTTATTTCTTAGCATCTTAAAGAACCTTTTATATAACAGATGCTCAATAAGCGCTATGTAGGGAATGTATTAAGACTGGCTCTAAATGGATATTTATTTATAAGCTTCATAAATTTTATCCCCAAAAATCCTATGAATATACTTTTGAAAGTAATGAAAAAGACATACACAACACCAGAAAAAGAAAATGAAATACACTATAATTTCCATATCCTCTTCCAATGAGTTACCATAAATTCAAATGCAACTCTTCAATCCTACAGGGAAAACAGGAGGGAGAATGCAAGGAGGGAGAGAAGGGTTCTTTTTCATCAATATTAGTATCTCCAACCTCTCCAGGCATGAAGTATGATACCTCTATGACAAGATCTTTATAACTATTTTTAATTCTTCCAATTATAAGAAACTGCTTGTTCATTTTAATTACTCCTGAAAATGTTTACAAAAATATAAGGAAGAACATCAAAACCATAAGTGCACCACACAGATATAACCACCATTATCCTTTGAAGTATATTTGTTTCTAGTTGGGAGAGTATTAAAAAGTTATGCTCCTCAGCTATACATTCTTTTAGGACCCTGATGTCTAAGTGAAGAACAGTCGTGGCTCAGGGTGAAACCCAATCATAAACCAATGATCAACATGCAATAACTACCTCACGAGGTTGACTTCTCATCTCACAAACTATGACTTTTCTTTAGTGTCATCAAACTGAAGAGAGTTCCTTGGCTCTCAAGCCAAGGCCACAGAGCAGCAAAAAACATCCAAACAACATCACAATAAGCCCAGATGAAAACAATTCTTTCAAGTACATCATTAAATGCTCCTTCCACTGCTCCCCCATTTTGTAAATGATGAAATTAAGGCTCAAAGAAATTAAGTAAATTCACAAATAAAATTAAAGACAAATGATAAACTAAAAGAAAACATTTATAATATATCTGGCAAAGCATTAATATTCAAAATACATAAAAATAAAACCTTCAGAGCAATAAAAAATAGAGATAAACAATATCATAAAAATTGCAAAAGATAATTCACAGAAGAGAAAAAATGGCCAGTAAACATAAGAAAAAGTACTATAAGTCAGGAATATTAAAATATAAACAAAGTTTCACCTATCAATAGGGAAACATTTTTAAAAGCCAGTACTGTCGAGTGTTGACAAGGTCAGGAATGAAAGGGCACTCACATTGTTGATGTGTAATGTAAAGTTTTGAAGTCTTTTTAGATAGCAATTTGGCAGTATCTAACAAATTTTGATTAAGTGTACTTTTTAACATCTTCCTCAAAAAAGATGCTGTTCTATATTTCTAAATTATATCATGCACTGATATGAGTCTTTGCCAAAATGATTCTCTCCATCTAGAATGTTATTTCCCACCAACTGCAATTCAAAAAAATGTTCTGACATGTAAATCAAAAGTCTGTTATAAGAACTATTAATAATATCAAATATTGGATGCACACTAAACTACTTTAAGTTTATTCTGGGAAGAAAAAGAAGAGAGACCTTTACATTTTTCTCTGAATATTTCTGTACTGTCTCCATATTTTAGAAGAATAGATTTGTGTATTACTTCTTGTATACATGGTGGAAAGCAGTATTACTTTTTCAGCTTATGCTGCAAGCATATAAGAGAAACACTGCCCTGACACAGGGAGCAGGCCCGACTCTCATAGCTAGGTCTTGGTGTTCTCCAGATGAACATAAACAATTTCACAAAATACCAACACCAGGTAAAATCACTCTGTGACCGTGATGGATCAGGACAACAAGACCACTCTCTAATTATGTCTGAAGGTGATGGCAGCGCATTGGACTTCTATAATCATGTCTGAGAACCAACAAAATCAGGACCATCATCCAAACCACAGACGTGACCAAACCTCTTCCTATCCTGCTTAATATGATTCAGTGCTGATTCTTCACCAACTGAGGCCTTGGCTTCCCTCCTTCTGGGTACAATTTATTAAGATACCTAATGATATCACACACCCCCTTCCTGAATGCTTCCATCCAGGGCAAAGCCCCACTTCCTTAAAGCCTTCCCAAAACTACCTGCAACAAGCCCAAATCCTTTAATAAGGCTTCTCAAACATCATTTTACTGAGATACTCCCACAGATTCCCATGGTATGTAAGTTAGTAAACCCATTTGTTCAACTATAGTGTGTTCCTAGTGGTCTTTGGCCAAAGGGAATTGATACATAATTGACTAACAGAATCTCCAACCCAAAAAAGTAAAAAAAAAAAGAGAGAGAGAGAGAGAGAGAGAGAGAGAGTTACACTGAATGTTTAATAATGAATGAGAATTTTTCTAGATATCACATACCTTGTTATTTACTCCTTAAAACAAGAAACATAGTTATTCCCATTTTATAAAAGAGAACACTGAAGTTCAGAAATGGAAAAATGGGAATTGGAGACAGGATTTCAAGTTCCCCTACTTTCCCCTCTCCATGAACTACTCCTCTGTCTGGTATACCTGATCACCACAGAGGAATGCAGCAATACATCAGGTTACATAAACATTATCTCCACTGAGCACATATTTTACTTCATAGTAATAATAGTAGTTAATAGGTATTCTTAAGGACATATATGGCAAGCATTGTATTAAGCAGTCATTAATCCTCACAATAATCCTATAAGAAGTATTAGCATTTTCCTAACATAAATGACTAAAAAATGGGAAAAGCAGGACTCAGATCCAGGCTAATAAGCCTCAAAAAATGGGACTTTAACCCTTAGAGCATCCTAGCATAAAACATTTTAACATTAAAACACAATAGATGTATCATGAATAAAGTACCAAATAGGGTTTCCCTGAGATGGGCCATTGAGTTATATCCCCAGACCCATGAGAAAACAAGTTTAGTCTCTAAATTAGGAATATTTCCCTAGGGAAAATTGTGTTTAACTTCCAAATTGTATCATAATGCTTAGAAGATGTTTTATATTAGAAAATATAAAATCAGATGATGACAAATTTCTATGTTGCAATGTCCATAGAGTCCAAGACAGACTATGTTGCCAAGACCCTACATCAGTGCAAACACATACAATTTTGATAAGGCTAGAGTTTCAACTTTTTCCTTTGCAATACAATACAAAATTTTCTGTACTCTTAAACTTTATCGTCAACCTCAAATCATACTAGGTGATGACACTTGGGATAAGTAAACTGTGAACTCTGTATGCCATACTTTTATATGCCAGTACCTCACCTTTCCCTACAGCTTTAGAAAACAATTAGTTGAGTTTATTGGACATCAGTAGAAAATTTCTTATAGCATTATGCTGGCTGCTTCAAAATAGTAAGTTTGGCAGTAATTTGTACTCCTAGGATATCAAGCCATAAAGGTTTATTTACATTAACTATAAAGGGGACTAGGTTGGCAGGGCTATTACCTTTTGATCTGTGGTTACCGAATTCACCAGGTACAGGGACTTTAACAGGTGTTGCTGAACTCTGAATGCTCAGCACACTGGGAGTGGCAGTAGTAGAGTTGGCCTTTGGTCTTTGTCTTGGTGCAATTGAGGTTTCTGTTGGTCCAATGGTATCTGTTATTCTACAAGAGAAGAATACATTTCATTCCAAATATTGGGATTCTTTCTAGTTTACTCTTGGTTCTACAAGCATCTATTTCAACAGTTGCATTTTAATTATTATTATTATAATCATGTTAGTTCACTTGATTCCTTCCTAGGTCTCACTCTTAAGTATTCAATGTTTAATGAAGATAGGAAAATAAAATAAACTTAACCATTTTCTTTAAACCAGTATGTAACCATTCAGAGTCTGCCACTTTAAACTAGCAGAAAAAGAATGTAAGATTCTGCTCTTAAGGAGATGAAATAAAGAAAACAAACCAACCTTCTCGTAAGGTTTAAGACAAAATTGAGAGCCAACTCTCTAAACCAGAGAGAGAAATACAAATAAGAAACAACAAATAACAGTCTTCTTTAGCTTGGACTCCATGCCTACGAAAGATGAGACTGTACCCTAAGACATGGAAAACAAAAGAAGCCAAAACTTTTAACCAGTGGAGCTACCAGCCACATTTAACTTTTGAATCTTTAACCTTGTTTTTCTTAAAACACTGAATGGAAATTATATAAAACTTTCCCACTAGGAGTTACTTTAGACCATAGACATGGGCAGTCGAATGGAAAGTGTAATGTTGAAAGCAAGATACACTAAACGTAATTTGAGGGGAAAAAAAGATGCTTTCTCTTCTCTTTAAAAAAAAAAACCCAGGATAATCTTTAACTTACATATTTACTAACTTTGTTTTCCATAAATTCAGTATAAAAACTCAAATAATTTTTAATAGTCATATGCTCACTTTTCAACAGGATTGCAAAAAAATCTCTTTACCAAGTTCCCTGATATTTTCAAATAACTTAATTAACACTTAAAATTTTGCATGCATACGATTTATTAAGGGCACACCTGCTGCCATGGACAACATAGATCTAGTTCTTATATAAACCAGAAGAGGGAGCCCCGTGCACAACTAAGAAATAAAGGCAGTTAAAAGATTTTAGAAAATCACAGAAATACACTTTGTATGTGCTGTTTTCTATATATAATATGTTTTATATGAGATGAGGATGTACAAGTCATATAAAAATTAAACTAAAAGGCAATAAAAGATCATATATATACATTGAACTAGATCTCATTTAATGATAATCAAATATTAAGATAAAATTATGGAAGTGGGACTAAAACCAATGCTGTACTCTCTACACTCAAGTAACTTAGAAAAAATAGTATATACAATCTGTTTGTCTCTCCATTCTTTATTAACAGACCTCACTGGCCTTGTTCCTGTTCTAATCTCTATAGAGATTCAGAGCACACATGACTATAGCAAACCTCTGAAAAGCATACTTTATTTAGTTCTGCGCACTTTATTTAGTGTCCCCTAATATATCTTACCAATGTACAATATTAAATACACAATTACCGATATCCATCAAACACGGCACAATACTGTCTTCAAAGAATTAATAGAATGAGGAGGGAGACCCAAAAAACATGGAATTTATTTATAAGAAATTGTGTATTTATTCTTTCATGTTTAAAGTTCAGTCACCTTCAAAGTATTCTCCATTTGATGCAATGCACCTATCGAGGTGTTTTTTCCACTGCTCAAAACTCATCAATTTGGATGAGTTTTAGCACTTCTGCAGTTTTTTGTTTCATCTCTTCCACATCATCAACACGTTTCCCTTTAAGGACTTTTTTCATCAAGGGAAAGATTGGGTGAATAGGGAGGGTGGGGCATTGGGGTCATGCTGTTCTTGGTCAAAAACTGCTGAACATTCAGCACAGTGTGGGCAGATGTGCTTGTAAATCACCCAGCACGAAATGGGCAAACATGTTGAAAGAGTCTTCCAAAAAATTCACTGAAGCCAAACACAGCTTCTCACAACAAGGCCAGCTGGTACCCTGACACAGGTGGGTTCCTAGAGCTCCTACCTAGTGGTGAAAGCCTGTACTACAAGAGGCCTGCCCTCCAGAAGATAATTCCTGTTGTTGGGGAGTCCCCTCTCATATACATAAGGAGATATGCACATGTTCGTGAAAATACACTAAAACATAACAGCAAAAATAATGTCATGCTAGTACTGTCAAGAGTTTCGTGGAGTAATTCTACCTTTAACCTAAGTTGTCTAGAGAAGGCTTCAAGTAGGAAGTAGAGAAATTATGATTTCATTAGACTGTGAAAAGAAACAAAGTATTCTGTGTGAGGAAATGGAAAGAAAATGCCTGGACAAATGAGGCAAAGTGAAGACACACACTTGACTGAAATGAAAAACTGAGTAATTGCCGGTGTTAACGCTGCTGCGTGGCTTCATCTGCGTAATTACAACAGACACAAAACTGTTTTCTCTGCTTCTTCCCTCTTTCTCCTTCCTCTTATCATTTGAACAATCTTCCTACAACATAGTTTCTCTCTCCACTTAAAATCCTTCAATCGTTCCATTGCCAGGATAGCGATTCTCAGCCTTCCCATCTTTAAGATGTCACATAAGTTTCTCATGTTTAACAGTCTCAAGAGGAAATGCAGATATTTAGGAATGGAAGGGGTTTTTAAGGAGTAAAGCCAAATGCCACAGATTGAAGGCCACATAGGAAGATGGTTAATATTCATAAAAGCTTTAAAACATGTAAATAATAATACTAGCTATTTAAAGATTTTTCCACCCTACCTCACATCCAGAAATACTAAAAAAAGACTAACTTTTTTAATTCGGTTTTATACACATAGTACTTTTTTCAAGTTCTGAAACTATCAGTATAAAGTATATTTATATTACTGACCAAAAACCAAAAATGACCTTTATTTTTAATATACACAATGTATAGCTTAAACATACTATGAAAACCACTGTGAATTCAGTTAAGTGTTTCCTTTGCTTATATAGCTATAACTTGTGTCATACAGAAGACAGTCAAATCATTCTTATTCAGTTGACAGTTTATCTACATCTACTTTCTTAAAGATTTAATCATAAACAAAATAATTATTAAAAAACACAAGTAACCATAAAATTCAACTGACAATTCTACAATAATTCATGATGACCACTCAACTCTAACAGTAGTTGCTAACCACAGCTATGTAAGAGATAGGACACACTATTGGTCATGCTGGATTCCTGCAACTGAGATGTAACTTTACTCCTTCTTCTCTTCCTCAAGAGTATTTTAAAATTCAAATGAATGAAGACAATATTTTAGACTCTTCAGCTTCACCTCCCACCGACCCCTATGCTCCAATCTTGCAGTCTCACAGAGGCCATTCTTCTTGCTCGAGGGCCTGTCTGTCACAGTTTCACTCCCTACCACCCCAGCTGACAGGATTATATTATTCATCTTTCAAATAACAGCTCAGCAACCGCCATCCCCCACCCCCAGGGAAGGACAGGGTTCTCTCTGTGTTCCTGTTTTCTCTGCTCCCCATCTTTCCCTTCCTCCTCTCTCAAGGTTGCCTGATAACAGGTTGGAATTGTTTATCTGTCTATTTTTATTAGAATGTGAACTCCTTGGGAACAAGCATTGCTTCTTTTCCTTTGCATTTCCAGTATCTATATGTTGCATATAACAGGTACATGACAAATATATTTTATGTCAAATAAAATACTTTGCATAGGTAAAATACAATTCAAAAAAGCTATAACCAAGAAATCTCCTCAAAGTAACATTATATCTGGTATTACCTGGTATCATAGAATGTAATACAACAATTTACAATAGCCAAGTGTTGGAAGCAACCTAAATGCCCATCAGTAGATGACTGGATCAAAAAATTATGGTACATATACACAATGGAATACTACGCAGCAGAAAGAAAAAAAGAACTACTAAACTTCGTGACAGCATGGATGGAACTGGAGAGCATTATGCTAAGCGAAATAAGCCAGGGGGCAAAAGACAAATACCATATGATCTCACCTATCAGCGGAACCTAACCAACAATACAAAGATGCAAGGAAAATAAGACCAGCAACACTGAAAGGAAAAGAAATCAACAGAGACAAGAGGGAAGGAGGGAGGGGTGGGCAGGGACAAGGAAGGGAAGGGAAAAGCCAAGGAACATATAGCAAGGACTCATGGACAAAACCAAAGGGGAAGAGCTGAGGGAGGGAAGGAGAGAGGGGGCAAGGGAAAGTGGTGGGGGGGAGGCAGAGACAAATGTATTTGAAAAAATAAATTAAAATAAAATTTTTAAAAAAAAGAGAAAAAAAATAAAATATAGTCCTGCTTATTTACTTTAAATTCAAAATAAGCATGAGGAAAAAAAGTTTATTCATTAAATTAATTCAATCATTACTCAGATTCAGGTCTTAAACTGCATAATGTGTCAAACTTACTAAGGCGGTAAATAACTGAAAAATGATTTAAAACATTATTTTTTACCAGTCTTAAAAGTATTACCATTAAACCATTCATTATAAATTATATATACTAATACATATTTAAATGTGTATTATTAGAACACATAAAATAGTTTATAAATTTAGAATACTCTAGAAAAGTAGCCTATAGGATCTATTTTTCCTTTCCTTAAATTAAACAAAAAATCATAATAGCTATAAACTCAAAACATAACAGTTCATAAACTACAGTTGACATGTGATAAATAGTGACAACCCACCACCAAATGACCCAATATATTGTAAAAATACCAGTTACATAGTCACTTGATTGCTGAGGGAGCAGTTCATGTGAGACTCATCTCAAACCCTGTCTCTAATACCAAAGAGTGTATTTTATACTTGCTTTCTAAACTCTATACCACATGCAATAAGAAACATGTTTTTGTGCATGTAGGTGATATTTAATTAATTACATTTGCTAGGATTAAAAACAAGAACTATCTCTTATTTTTCAAAAAGCCTTTTCAAATTTCAGCATAGCTTTGCCTACCTGGCTTTTATTTGGCTTTTCCTAGAAGCTGCTTCACTAGCAGTCATGGGTTCAGGAAGAGTAGAAGGAATAGAAGAATTCTGGGAAGAAAAAATAAAACACCATTTTAGCTTTTACTTTAATAGCAGAAAGCTTTATTTAAAGGCTATGGATATAATCTAATTTTAAAAAGTGCTGTCTGTGAGATCCTGTTACTTTCATCTCATATACCTACAAATTGTTCACATATACTTGTCATAGCTAATCTGCAAACATCACCACATTATACAAATATCACTTTCATATTCATGTGCCAGCAAAAACTTTCAAAAATAAACAATATCATTGTATTCACTTTACAAATGTGCAAATCTTGGCTAAAAAGAAGGATTGTATTATACTTGTAAATCGATGACTATTTCACAGTTTGGGGAAAAAACAAACACCAAGCATATGGGTAGTGTTGTTTCTGCATATTGCAAAAATTTTCATGACACTGCATGTAAAATCTAAAAAACAAGAGCAAAGGCTTTCCTCATTTGTTTATGTTCTATATAATGTTTGGCTTATAGCAGGTAATCAAATGCTTGCTGAATAAAAAGCTATAAATCTATAGTCAAATGTCAAATAAAGCTACTTTTATTACTAGAATGTTAAACTGCATGGCTTTCAGCCTCAACAAAGAGTATCTGACATAGTAAAGACTTCAAAAAACAAAATGGAAAGGTGCCAACTTCCTTGTTTTTTCACAGTGGAGTGTATTAAGTTATACAGAAAGGAAAACCAACAAGAGCAAATGAGATCAGAATGATCTTTAGAAAGTTGAGAATGGCTTAGAGTCAGTGATGATTCTGGACTTTTATTAAAATTAGCAGAGACCTGCCATACACAGTTAATCTGATACAGTTAAGTACAGTGTGCAGACACAGGGTATAATTCAAAGCCTTCAAGTGATATTAGCTATTACTAACTCAGCACCTTTAATGGACTAGGCACTGGGTTTACATTTATTATTTGTAGTCCTCATAATTACTATCCTTGTTTTGCAGAGAAAGAACAAACATTAAGTAACTTCCCAAAATACTGTTGGCCCTCCGGATCCATGTGTCCAGCATCCGCAGATTCAGCAAACCTCAGATCAAAAATACTGCTCAGGTCCTGGCCAGTTTGGCTCCAGTGGTTGGAGCTTTGTCTTGTACACAAAAAGGTCACAGGTTCAATCCCCGGTTAGGGCATGTGTCTAGGTTGGAGGTTCAGTCCCCAGTCAGGGTGCATATGAGAGGCTACTGCTGGATGTTTCTCTCCCTCTTTCTATTCCCTCCCTTACCTTTTCTCTAAAATCTGTGAGCATGTCCTAGGGTGAGGACTTAAAAAAAAAACAACAAAAAAACTACTACTCAGAAACAATAATATTATGTTGTTGCTGACACGTACTATGTAGTTAGGGCTACGATGGCTGCATCTCTCCTGAGAGGTACAGAGGTGTTTTTCTTGTCATTATTCCCTAAATAATACAATATAACTATTTATATTAGGTATTACATGTCATCTAGAGACGATTTAAGGACACAGGAAAATGTGTGGAGACTATACGCAAATACTACACCATTCTATGCAGGTGACGTGAGCATCTGCAGATTTCAGCACCCATGGGAGTCCTGGAACCAATCCCCTGCGGATTCTGAGAGATGACTGTATACAAAAGCAGTCACTGATGAAGACAGGTCTCTCGTTCACAATGCCTACCCCTTTTACAACAAAGGCAATCCAACTTTCTCAGTGTACAGAGTGCTTAGTGCCTCAGTAATTTTTCATGACATCCCTAGTTCACCCCCCAAAACTATGTAAGTCTGTCTTTTTTAATAGATTGGCCCAAACAACTTAACAGTTGTTATTTGTTTTGTATCAGATAGATGTCACTGTTTCTCTCAGAAAATGCAGAAGATCATGCAGTGCCCCCCACATCTGTTATGGCTCCCTAGAGCACGCCAGTGCACAATTTAGCAACTGTAGCTTTATACTGAAAATACTAATCACAAACACACTCAGTCTCTCCGTCCAGAAAGACTGAGTGTGTTTGTGATTAGTATTTTTTTTCCTACCAGTTTCCTTTTATTTCTCACAAAGCCTGAGTCAGGTGTTGTGGTTCCTATTTACAAATAAGTAGACTGAGTCACAGGTTAAGGTACACAGTTAAGGTCACACAATTAGGAAGGGACTAAACTGGAATTTCAACTGAAGTCCAAATTGGCTCCTAAGCCTTAGCTCTCATATGCTCTGCTGGGCTTCCTGGGGAGAAGGTACTACTCTCCTCCCCACAAGGCTTCCAGGCCTTCACCTGAGGCTGGAAGGCCTTCCAGAAGGCATAGAGTTGGTGCACACTGTGCCCCTACCTCAATGCATCTCTCTACAGCATTATACTACTTGTCATGAAACAAATACCTCTGAATGTATGTGTGCACATGCCCACATACACATACACATTCGCATGTAATAAAATGGATTTTAAATTCATATCCCACTTAAGCCCTGGCCAGCATGGCTCAGTTGGCTGGGCGTCATCTCGCAAAGTGAAACATCACCAGTTCAGTTCCCAGCCAGGGCACATTCCTGGGTTGCGGGCTGGGTCTCCAGTTGGGGCGGTGCGAGAGGCTGGATTCATGTTTCTCTCCCTCTTTATCCCTTCCTTCCCCTCTCTCTAAAAAAATAAATAAAATCTTTTAAAAATTCATATCCCACTTAAAAAGCTACTTACATTGATATTGGAGACTGGACAATCTCTTTTGGCAAATTTAAATGCGAAATAGGACACTTGAAATATGTCAGGTCTACGGTCTGGATCTGGTTCGAGCATGAACCCTGCAAGAACAGATTAAAATGTTAAGAAGTTTCACTGATCACAGAAGCTATATAGTGGCACACTAAAAGGATCGTATATGTGTATATATAAGTATTTTTTACCATTCTAGGATCAGTGATAATTTGAGCAAATTTTGTTAATGTTTACAGAATATAAAATCTGTTACTGATAACATGAACTTAAAGCATTATCCCACACTAAAGAAAAATCAGTCACAACTCTGTACCAGAAGTACTATTAACAAATATAAATATTCTTCTGAGAAAGTGAGACAAAACAAAAAGTGAGTTTAGTGAACACTGGGGACTTAATTACTCATGAAAGTTCTAGGGCCAAAGTAGGGGTGCTTAATTTCACTATTATCTAAAATATATCTACTAATTTTTAAGTAATCCTGAATCATTGAGAAAATACTTCATTGTATACATTATAATCTAACAAAGTAGTACAGGGTGGACCGTATAGTTTTCCAAAAACATGCTTTCTTACCATACTAAGATGCTAAGATTATTCACAACAGTTCTACATTTCAATGTGTTATACATATCACGTTCAGAAGTATGAACTGAGTTTTATGGCTCTATTATGAACAGACTTGATACCAACCTATGGCACTGCTTGAAATGCCTGACCATTTTCTAACCAAAATGACCAACACCATTTGTCTGTTTCTTGAGTGACTTGTTAAATTTACAATTTCACAAAAAAGCTGACATTTATACTCACTTCCTTAACTGAAAAAATCATATTTCATTAAAGTTCTCCATGTTCTAACTCTGATTCATTGATTAACTATAAGTTTTTATAACATTCAAACCATTATTAAAACAATTTGGAATGTAGGGTTTACAGTATTAATTAATAATATTCTGAAATTTGCTAATAAAATTATATACAGAGATCAAAGTGTATAAATGGCTAAATTAATATTATATATCAAAATTATTTCAATCTTCCTTTCAAATTTAAGTAATTTTTAAACAATTTTTAATACATCTCCTACAGCTTAATAAACTTATTCTGGTTAAAAACATAGTTGTTTGGCAAGTGAAAGCATAAACTTAGCAGAAATTTACTTGTGAAATTAGGAGCTCAGTTTTTAAAATATTCTGTACATAATTTGATTTTCTGTACCAAAAAAGGCTAACATGTACAACTTATAGAATTGATTTTTTATTATTTTATCAACACTGTTAGATGGTAATTAAAAACATTGAATTTTTAATTCAATACTTATTTAAATCTAATATTGATTGGATTATATTCAGTCTCATCTCAGAAAAGATCTGAAGAATCTACAAAGTTTATTTTATCCTCCAAAATCATACTTTATCTTGACACCAACAGATATAAAATGTTTTTAAAGTAACAATAGTCCATGACAAAAGTCTTAGACTTTTAATAATAAACTTATCCAAATGATTTTTTAAACAAATCACAAGAAACTTATCAAATTCACAAATTTAATACTCTATTTTTCTAACAATTGTTTATTTAGCTTTCAAAATCAAATTTCAAGAGTAACAATATGTAAGTATTTATTCCTATAATGCCACTTGAAGCGGCATACAAACTAAGATTTTTTAAATACATGAGACCATTAGGCTAACAGAAAAGTAATGGTTGAGAGACCCCTCCCCCCCCCCAAAAAAACACACCAGGATAATGTCAGTAAAGAAATTGCATATGATTTGGTCTTATAAATATAGGCCACAAATTTAGCTATCTTCTAGCTGTCAACACAAACGGGGCAACATGATGCATTACATGAATCTGTGTCCTTAACACAAAAATAAACCAGGTGCTAAGAAAAAGCACCATTCTTGATACCAAAAGCCAAGAGTAAATTCTCCTTTGAGTCTGTCTAAAGATGGCTCTGAGTGAACACTACCCTTAGAGAACTGCAGTGACTGACAGTGGGTAATGTCCTACAGACTCCTGTGTGGACCAGTGACATAACACCTAAAGGTAGTTAGGCAGAAGAAATTCTACAGGTGTAGAGAACAGTACAGTATGGAATTATACTTCTCAGGCCCAACTTAATCTAGAAAAAGCTTTATAAGTATCTGGAGAAAAATATAAAATGATACATCAGGCAATCCTATATCTATTTTTTTCTTTCACAGTAGATGAGAAGCACTGAGGGAAAATAAATTTGACATTTTATATTCTCTAACCAGTATTTGTATAAGTAATTCTTTCAAGTTAAGCATAGGATAGCATCCTCTAATGCTTAGGTAGCTAGGCTGTGGGTAGAAGTGATATCATCTTATAAGCAAACAAAAGGACCCCTAAGTCCCTGGCTCATTTTTCCATGTGGAAATACTGTGGTAGCCAGTTAAGTTTATCTAAGTGTAACAATGCCATTTATGTGACATAATACCAGTTTAAAAAGTGATGACTAACATTTATTTTAATAAAATAGAATAGAAAATAGTAGTGTGCACTAATGTGGTAAGTATAAGCAATAGTTCCTGAAACTTGTTTCGCGTGTGCGTGCGTGCGTGCGTGCGTGCGTGTGTGTGTGTGTGTGTGTGTGTGTGTTTTCCAGGTCATTACAAAAATCTATTTATTACTGTGGATCACAAATAGTTTGAAGACCACTGTGCTAGTGATCTCTCTCTATATAAGTCATTCCTCTCCAAGGGAAAGAGCACAATTTGTTTGTTAGACTAAAAGGAAAGGGCACCTACACATGCCCATCTCTGCTGCTCTTTCTTTCAGTTTACTAACAGTTTACTCTTAGAACATATATGTTCTATGCAAAACCATGTTTTGGAAGTGGCCTACTTCTGTGGAAGAAGTCTAAGGTTAACCAGCATTGCATATAGCTGGGTGTGAGTAAATCTGGGGGTTGAATAGATAACAGGCCCACTTGGCATCAGGTCTAAATTTCATTCATTCTGTTATCTACTTTATCTACTAATGTTGACAGTTTTATCTGATGAGCTCCTATAAGCCATCTCTGATTTGGTTCTAAATTCAAAGTATGAAGAAGCTGAAACCCACAGGTTGAAAATGGCTACATTTTTATCTCTGAATATTTTTATACTGGTTATTATCAGTCATTAAAAAAGAAAATAAACTCAAAAAGGCATCATTAAGCATTTAATTTAACTAATTTCCCAAACTGTCCAACAGAATGGGTTACAAAATATACTCCTAGACTACTGAATGATATAATGTGAAATACAAAGTATCTAGAGAGAAATAAAATGATCCATCAGGCAATCTTACCTATATATTTTTTTTTTTGTTCATAGATCAGTTCTATTCCAGTTAAATACTGGAGAATATCTACTAATAATGACAAGTTCAGCTTAATTTGAAGTAATTGGTCCAAAACCACCTTCTCTCAATTAATCCTTGATTTTAGTATTTGTATTAACTCCCACTTCATGAAAATAAAACTATATCATCTACAAAAATATGCTCTTGAGGGGAAGGAGTAAATTAAAAAATGCATGTGTCCAGCTCATCTAAGAGATTAAGTTCAAAAAAGAAAAAAAAAGGCAGAGAAGCTAGAACACACCCTTGTTTACTCAATTTAAAATGATCATGTGAATCATCATGAGAACATTCCTACTGTCCCTGATTGTTGTGCAAATATAAAATTGACTTTTAAAAAGGTGTCTGTTCCTCTTAAGTGGGTGAATCTTTCTATTGACACAAACTCCATTTACACAACCTGAGAACACAAAATAGTCTCAGCATTAAAGACAGTGTATGATTAAACCAACACAGTATTTCCAACTGATGTATAAGACATATCTGATTAAAAAACACTTACACTTAAAAACAACTGAGATAGCGGATTAATTATGTTCGTACTACTTTTGCACAGGAAAAAGTACATCCATTCATATTCCAACAAAAAGAGCAGTTAATGGAGCGGCTGGTACTGTAGCAGTGGCCAAGTTAAATTATGGTTTAATCAAGGATGCAAGGCAAATATTAAATAAAAGAGTTCCCATTCAAGTTACACAAAACAACAGCCCCATGCGTGGGCCTGAGTAAAGTTATACCAACATCTTTAATGTAATGGCTCAGCAAATTTAACAGGAAAACACACTTTTGATACATGTGTTCAAAGAATGGTCCTGCTTAAAATTGAATTATTTCTTCCTTCCAAAAGGACACTTTATCTTTCCCACAGAATTCCACTTATAGTAATTAACCTGAAAAGAGAAACAACTATTCTATTTTTGCAACCAAAAATACTTTGACAATTAACTTGTTATTTTTATCTGTTAACCTGGAGATTATTATAGAAACTTACATGTTAGGTTTATACGTCCTACATGTCTTATTCTGTGGAGTACTGAAATAAAGCCTCCTTTAACAGCCACAGTAAGTGTGTTCCGTCATAAGCACAACACTGAATGTCACTACAAACATGTCAGAACAGTGTTTGTGGGCTAGGTCTGGCAGCTGTCCCTAAGTTACTGATCAGAGCCCTCTCTCTAACATCTCCTCAAGTAGTAACCCAGAGCCACTGATTGAAAAGCTCCAAGGAAATCCTATCTTAATCTTTGATTTCTTTTCAAAGATACATTAAAATTTCTGACATTTTTTCAAAAAAAATAGGAGAAAAGAGAGGGTGAGGGAATATACAAAACAAGATTAGCCATGATTGGATAACCACTGAGGTTGTGAAACAGGTAGGTACATGGTAATTCACTGTACTGTTCTGCCTATACTTTTTCAATTTCCATAATAAATGTTAAGTATACTTTAACAAGCAAGCAAATTCCTGGTTTCCCACAGAAAATAAGTATTAAAATAAATTTATTTATTATCAAAAAGATAAAAAATAACAAGTGTTGGTGAGAACATGGAAAAAAGAGAACCCTTGTGCACAGTTGGTGGAAATGTAAATTAGCACAGGAAACATTAATTGAAAAACAGTATGAAGTCCCTTCAAAAAATTAAAAACACAACTACCATGTAATCCCTCGATTCTACTTCTGTGTGTATATAGGGAGGAACCTGAGAAACAGTAACTGCAAAAGATGCCTGCACCCGCATGTGCACTGTAGCGTAACTTGCAATAACTGAGACATGGAAGCAACCTGAGTGTCCTTCAGTGGATGAATGGATAAAGAAAATGTTACACACACACAGACATACACTCAAAGGAATACTATTTGGCCATAAAAAGGAAGAAAATCTTACTAGTTAAGACACCATGGATGTACCCAAAGGGTTTATGCTAAATAAAAGAAGTCAGATAGAGGAAAGACAAATACAGTATGATCTCACTTATATGTGGGATCTTTAAAAAAAACAAAAAAAACAAAACTCATAGATACAGAGAACAGATTGGTGGTTGCCAGAGGTGGAGGCTGGGCTGTGGGTGATATGGGTGAGGGTACCAACTTCTAGCTATAAGCCCTGGGGATAAAATGTACAGCATGGTGACTATAGTTAACAAAATTGTATTATACATTTGAAAGTTGATAAGGGAAATCTTAATAGGTCTCAGAACAAGGGGGGAAATGTGTAACTAGATGAAGTGATAGATATTAACTAATGCATTGTGGGGATCACTTCACAATACATACATACATACATCAAATCATTACATTGTATACCTGGAACTAATACATTATATGTCAATTATATTTCAATTTAAAAAATAAATTTAAACCCAATAGACAAGCTGCTAAGAGCTGAAATACAGAACGATAAAACAACAATAAGTTAGCAGACCCAAAAGCAATAAAAGATGAAGCTTTCCTTGCAGTTCATTATGATTCACTACATTACTGTACAAAGTAAAAGGTGAGAAGAGAAATTAATTATATTTAACAGTATATTCTGGAATATATGATAATTTATGATAAGCCTTTGGTAGATCCACCATAAACCTGCAAAACCAGGTTTTGCTTCAAAGCATCCAAAGAAACCTCTGTAGGGAAAGTACATTCTAGTGAGTTCTTTGACAGCGAATGCCTAATCCTTACCCAGAAAATTAGAACTCAGGTTAGCTCAGGAAAAACTGTTATAGATTTCAGTGGCACTGGTGGTTGTGGTGGCGATCATAGTAGCGTAAGTATTAAAAAGGCCATCTCTTACTGAGTACTTACATATGCTGAAAAGCATTTTTTTATAATTCAATTTTCAAAATAACCATAAGGGGTAGGTATTTTTAATGTGCTCATTTTAGAAATGAGATTGAGACAAATAGAGATGCCCAACATTCTGTACTAAACCAGTGACAGCGGATGCAAGCCCAGGCCTTTTGGCTCTCGCTCTTCATCTCCACCATGTACTTCCCTAACCTTCCTCAGTAGCAGCTAAAGAAAGGTGTGGCCGCCAGCCTTCTGTTCACTCATCATAACTATTCAGTAATTCTGTTAGCTTTGCTTCTCATTCTCCTCTAAATGTTGTCTAAGTTCTTTATAACTCTTAGATCCATAAATAAAAAGTGCTTCTCTCCTCATTCCCAATCTACCTCCATTACTTGTCTATTGAAGTTAATAGAAACTAAGAAAAAAAATTGTAATTAATTGACTCTGCTACCTTTAGAAAGAAAAATATAGTAAAATTGTTAAACAGAGCTTTATGGACAGTAGGTAATAATAACTATCCTTGACCAAATAGTGATAATCAAAAGTATGTTCAAATATTTATGTAACCACAAGCCATACAGTTTTTAAAAAGATTAGGCATGCCTATTTCATTTGCAAATATCGTGATCATATAAAACAGATGCAAGCAGAAGTAGTAATTCTATCAATACTAAAAAGATATATGTTGTTAATGGTTTATCTTATAATAATATATGTAATCGACTACATTGCATAAATAGACAACTGGAAATAAAAAGTTACACTTTCAAAAACTATGAGCACAGGTAGAAACAGGTGGTTTTCCGAATGTAGGATGTATCTGAAAGAAATACAAATTGCAAACTACATATCATAAAAGCAGACAGAGAAACCGAAACAGTATGATGGGAAATAGGCACGGTCCCATGTGAAAAAGTAAAACATGAAACTGAAAAGAGTCTAAATGTTTTCTAAAAAATCACATTATAGATAAGTATATCCTGGTTTTTAAAATCTCTACCCTATCAAGCTTTTACTACCCAAGACAAGTAAAGTCCCATAAAAATCATTTGACAGGAGGATTTCCTTGAATACTGTTATTTCATTTGATCATTTTTAAATTTCTGCCTAGCTCTGAAAATAAGTTCAAAATCATTAATACATGGTCAAATTTATATAAACACTGATGAAAACTAAAATCTATATATTTATTGACAAAAAGAAGCCTATGTTGCACACTAAAGCATCAGTTACCTAGAACCGAATTAAATCTTAAAATTATTAATAGTGTTTGTTTTTCAATCTTGCCACTACAAGCACATACACACAGAGAAGGGGAAAAAAACAAACAAACCTAACATGAAAAATAAGATCTTACTACTTTAAGCAAATTAAATCACAAATCAGGGTATATACTATCCAGTGCCCCACACACTATTATCCAGTAAGAATATTCAGAGTTCCTAAGACATGGCAAAATCCCCAATAAAATCCTCAGTTCGATTGTGAATAAAACATACTTAGCAACAAAACAGTTATAATGACTTACAGCAGGAACTTCAATAAAAAGTTAAACTTCAATTAGCTGAAACACACAACAGCCAAAATAAATTCCTTCACTTATTCTTTTGAGAATTCCAGTTAATCAGGGCCCTTTCATGCTCCTGATGTCCTCATTTTTGGACAATGAAGGAGGAAAACAACTAGATAAGATAGAGTGGGTTATAGGTCTAATGTTTATTCAAATGTACTCTAATGGTATGTTTCCTTTTCAAAAATTTCACATTCTGCAAAATGGCAGACTAAAAATAACAGGGCCAAGGGGAAAATAAATTTGGGATCAACCACTGGAAAACTATACAACTTTGTCACCAGATCACTGACAAAAACATTAATTGGTACGTGGGAAGGTAACATGTACTGCCCAGGCAGGTACATTAACTTGGCTGGAGGGTGCCACAGGGATTTAAAAAACAAAAAACAAACAAACAAACAAAAACACCCATCATCATCAAAACAAGGTTGGGAGATACTCAACCAATAAAAGTAGAATTCTGGACAAGAGGGGTTACTATTCAATGGGCCACCATTAATAGAGAGACACACAAAACGGACAGGTAAATATCTGGGAGGAAAACTCCAGGTACAAGGACTCATACTTATTATTCTCAAATTAGAGCTAAAAGCGTTCATGCTGGAAGTGGCACAGCCAAGCTTAGGGCTGTTTCCTTTCACCTGTAAGTTATAACACCATTTCTCTGACCCTATTACTCTGGTTCCCCTTGCCTAGGAAAAACATCCCAAATGAAGCAATGTAAGTTTTGTGTTCACCTGACATAATTCTCTAATTTCTAACATGTGTGAGCAAATCCACGTTATAGAAATAAAAAGACTGCACTTTAAATTATATATTTGCAAAGTGAGGCTAGGTATCCTTTTACGCTCCACTTTCTTTTGACCATTTTTCTTCTGAGTGTTTCCCTTTTCTTTTTGATTTAAATGTGTTTCATAAATTATAAAATTAACAATTTGTTAAATGTGTAACATTTTCTTTTCCACTTGATCACTTGATTTTATACTGGAATCCATGGGTTTGGGAATATTCTTAATGATTTAAGTTTATATGTTAATTGATTCATTTTTTATTGTTCCTGAGATTTAATGCCTCCCATACAAATTACCCATTCCAGTGTTATAAATAAATTCATACCTATTTTTTTCAAATAAATTTTTGTTTTATTTTTTACATTTGTCTTTGATTTATCTGAAATTATAGCATAAAGCTTGAGATAAAGATCCGGTTTGATTTTTTCATCTACAGTTTGCTGTTAACTCTTTGTAGTTCCATCTAGTTTTCCCTGCTGAGTTCCAAGTGCCATCTTTACATTATAAAAATATCACCTATATTTAGATTAACCCTCTTTTCTATTGCATTATTCTATATGGTTACAGCCTATGAGAGAAATATTTAAAATGAAGAAAACAGTAGAAATGCTAGAAACACTTTAATTAAAAGTGCTGAGAAGTGCTGTTTAACTACTGTCGCTTCCTAATATATTTTAATATTTGATGACCCTCTCCCTCCCCAAATCATCTTTTTCAGAAATTTTACCATGTACATACATAAGAAATTAAATTATATTACCTATCAAAAAGGAAGAAAAAATCTTAGAGCAGGCCAACAGGGAAATTGAGTATTTTTTTGGAATCAAGGACCCATAGACTACACCTTTTGGTACACCTAGGTTGTTTCTGATAACCATCTTATAATCAATAAGGAATAGATACTAAAAAGGGTGGTCAAGTGAGCTACAAACTAAGAAGAGTAATGCTTTGATCCAAAAAAAGCAACAGACACGGATATTTGGATTTCAAAGAAGATGAAATCATTAAATGTTACCCTGCTTAGTTTTTCCAGAAATAATCTGTGTTCTACAAAAGTTTATCTAAGAGCTTAATATACTAGTAATTAGGCTGCTTTCACTCCATAAAAGTCTGTGAACATCTTTTTAAGTGTTTTTCTTTACTACAACTTCTTAAAAGTATAATAAATGAAATTAAAAGAATAGATTTAGGCAAAGGGATATAAGAGCAGGCCCTGTATACAGTATCTTACAATTCTGTAATTAATTTTCCAAGTACTTACTTATTAAGCAATGTATGTTATGGGAGTAACGAGAATTGTCTGGGATGGTGAAACTGCCATCACAGATGGCAACCTGACTTTCACCAAAAGGAAGCGTGAAGAAGCAAAGTTTATACAGTAAACATCCCAGTGCCTGTAAAATAAAGAAACATAAACATCATCAGAACTCAAGCAATCAGCTTAACCACAAGACATAAAAATAACACTAAATCAAAAACTGTTATTTTTTTAAAAAGCCTAATGTTTCTACACTTAATCAGTCTTTTCACAAATCATTTGCTTAAATGAATTAATGTGCATAATATTTGAGAAGACATTTAACTGTATCATCTTCATATTTTTCTATCACATCTGTGGCTAGCTGGCTGAATTAATGCTATCACAGAACTCTAGATCATGAATGATTTAATGAACTAGAAGTAGTTGGTCTCTTTTAGGAAAAAAAATTATACTTTCATTTCTTCTACAAGGAAAAAATATATTTAGTACATAACTAGCATATAACTAACAAAGAAAGCACAAGGCTCCTTCTATCAGCATTTTAAATAAATTTACTATAAAACATGTTTTAAAATCCTGGGGTTTCAAATATGAGTTAGCCAGCACAGTGAAATTTACCAGACTACAATCAATACATTTTTATCAGTAATTCATTAAGCACATGTCATTATTTATTTCATACTATAAAAATCAGTTTCTATTTTTATATATAACCCTACGGTTTTTATTCTATAATTTACTAATCATATTTGTAACTGGGTAATCTATATTAAAATTAAAGAAGGACAGGCTCTGTCTGCTTCATTTGCATAGCTTAATAGACATCACAGCACCAATAAATATACTTGCTGACAACGAAGACAAAATACCCTAAAAAACAAATTTCTAGCTAAGCTGCTAACAGCTCAAGCTCAAACCAGAGAGTCAGTAATAAAATATAATTTTCAGGTCAAGAAATCATTACGTTGTCACAAGAAGAGTCATCTACAAGCCTTAACAGTGTAAGGGGTATTTCTAATTCTAAACAGATTGTATAAAATTATATAGTTAGTAAACAATTAAATCAACAATACTAAATTTTGCCTTACCATCTAAAAATCAGCAAATTGGCTTTCCTTTGTTGAATTCTCCCCACATACCAACTTAGCAAATGCAACTAACATTCTTATGTTTTACAACTACTATGAAGATCACAATATACAGAAACACCTGTGAGTTCAGTAATATTAATTTACTAAAAATAACTTTCAATATTTTAACAGTTTCCTACTGAAAAATTTAAAGGCTCTAGAAACTTCAATATATCCGTTCAAAGACATTACATGGTGGGTTATTTATTATGATTAACAAAACTGTGAAGATTCTGAATAAAAATAACCAGTTCAATGTGGCTTAAAACAATTTATGATGCTTTGTTCTATAAATTTCAGCATGTATGCTATAAACTGAGCGTAAGGCTCCCTTAACAACACTAAAAAATTACTATTAATAGTGTATTATCTGCATTAAATTACACCTTTCTCCTACCCAGATGACAGTGTTGGCAAAGGTCTGCATTTTAGCGAGTTTTATCTTGTCAATCAAACCTTTAGTGTTCTCTCTTGTGTTACATTAAATATTGTCAGAGTTCCCAGAAAACAATTTTAGACAGCAATGTACTTAAAAAACATAAATCTAAAATACTCTGCTTCGCATAGTATGAACACAATGAGGTGTCCTAGTTTTTTCATACCAAAGGCATTTCCCTTTTTATCCATTTGATATAACGAGTTTTGTTAAAAAAAACAAGAGGAAACAAATGACCTGATTTTGGAGGCTATACCAACATCCATTTTCCGCATTAAAAGGTAACATGAAGCATCTGTCACCTAAATTGTTGTAGCACATTTCAGTTTCACCTGAGCTAAGACAAGCATAAAAATGACATCATGGAAACTGAACTTCTATCTCTGTCAAGCATTTAAACATAGATTGTTTTCTGATTATCGTTCTTGCTTCTTTTTTATCTTTGAATATGTATAACCTCAGAACTATATCCAGTTAGTTGTTAGAGAAATACTACTCCATATACTAATCTATAAATGGTATAAATTTTAAACTTTTCCATGAAAACTCAGTATGCAGTCTGGCACACACACTAAGTCTGGTGGAAAATGAACAACAACAAAAAGAATACCTCTTCTTTTTGTTAATATACAGGGTTAATGACATGTGTTTAGACAGTAACTTTTTTTTTTAATCAGACCTGATGATTTCAAAACAGTAGTTGAGCTATGATGTCTCTCGTTTCTTCTGCTGTTGAAATACTCTTTTAGGTAATGCAGATTTCAACAGCAGTCTCAAAATTAGGCCAGAAAAAACTTCACAATCACCTCTTCTAACACTTTCGTTTTATCGACTAAGAACCAATTGAGATCCTGGCAGGGTCACTTGATTGGTTAGAGTGTCGTCCCTATTTGCCAAGGTTGTGAGTTAAATGTCCAGTCAGGGCACATACAAGAATCAATCAATGAATGTATGAATAAGTAGAACAACAAATCAATGTCTGCCTCCCCCAGCCTCTTTCTCTCTCTCTCTCATCAATAAATTTTTTTTAAAGATCCAACTAAATTTGCTTTCTATATTATAATATAAGCCATTCAATGAATTAAATGTTAAAGTGAGAAAAGCAAATTTGATTTATACAAGGTGGTGATCTATAAGCAGCATCAAGTTAAACCAAACTTATTCGTGGGTTGAATCAATTATACAGATAGTTAAAAATTCAACTACCAACCAGATTTAAGAACCACTTTTTGGTGAAAACTTATATACTACATAGACAGATAAGAAGATATCAAAGATTTTTTTCTTTTTATTACCTTGCAAAAATATCTGGGTATCTCAACCCCAACAGGAAGTGCCCAGGAGAAAAAAACCAAGGAGATATTCATTTGATTTCACACATTGCATCTGAGTACTTTCTGAACATTATGATTTAAAAACAAAATAAACACGACTTTTCTTGTAAACTCTAAAACTATTTCCAAAGGAATATTTTTCCGCCATCCCTAACATAGACACTAGTGGTAGATACAAGGGGGGACTCCAAAAAATCCTGAAATTGATTTATAAAAAGTTGTGTTTTCTTCTTACATGTTTAAACTTCAGTCACCTTCCAAATACTTTCTACATTTAATAAGCTGTTTTTTCCACTGCTCAAAACAGGTTTTGAACTTGTCGATTTGGATGCCTTTCAGTGCTTCCGCCATTTTTTGTTTTGCCTCTTCCACATTGGCAAAATGTTTCCCTTTGAGGACTTTTTTCATCAGGGAAACAAAAAATATTGCTTAGGGCAAGATCGGGAGAATAGGGAGGATGAGGTATGGGGGTCATGCCATTCTTGGTCAAAAACTGCTAAACACTCAGAGCAGTGTGGGCAGGTGCAGTTGAAAATCACCCATTATGAAATGGGCAAACGCAATGAAGGAGCCTTCAAAACAAACTCACTGAAGCCAAACGCAGCCTCTCACAACACCACCAACTGATATAGATGGGTTGCTAGTACACTCACTTACTGGGGGCAGCCTGTACTACCGGTGGCCCACCCTCCAGAAGATAATTCTGTGTTTTCTGGGTCCCCCTAATATAGCTAAATACTAACTAAATTTAAGTGAATTTATACTTAAAATACTTTCCCGTTGGTTTATTAAATATAGACAAAACATAGCTTACTTATGAAATGAGTTCTAAAGAAGTACTGACATTCTAACAAAGTTTAATTGATATAGAAACATTATCTATGTTAATAATTCAATCCAGATATAAATGCTTAATAATAAAAAACCTCAATATATATGTTAGTCAATGATATGTTTATAATTAGAAAAAAAGGTTTATTCATGTTAATTTTCTAAAATACTCCAGAAAATTATCAGTGTAATTACTTAAGAGTTACGTCCAGTATTTCCATAAAGTGATCAATCAAAATTCCACTCAATAAAAAAAATGTTAACACATATATAATTCAAACTCTAAAAAAATCATGGTGAAAGTTATATTATATGGAAGTCCTTTATTTGCTTTTTTATAAGCTTTCCATCTCAGGATTAAGAAGATAAAATATTCTAGTATTTTTCACCTCCTGAATAAGAAGCTTCATTGTATACCACTCTTCTGCTTATCAGGAAATACCTTCTGGAGGGCAGCGGGCAAATAATCAAGTGAACTCATTTTTTAAAAATTTGGTTAGAAAAAATGTCAACCTTTCTTGGCCTTACCCAGATATCAGCCTTGGTGGTGATGGGTTTCCCTCCATAAAGGTTGATCATTTCAGGGGCTCTGTATGACAGAGTTGTATACCTGGCAGTAAATAAGTAAAATGGAGTGGAGATATATATATATATACAAAAAAAAAAAAAAAAAAAAGACAGATACTACATTGTTTCTACATAAAATACTGCAAAAAACTTTTCAATTCAATAACATTAGATAAAAATAATATTATTTTTAAAACTTATTAAAAGTCCATCAAGGATTAAACAATACAAAGCATGTATACACAGTTTTATTCAACAAGTGCAATGGCATTTCTAATGATAAGAAACTTAATTCTCTTTATTACAAAAATCTTAAAGACAATGTATTGGAAACATAGTTTTCCTTGACTTTCTTATTTGAAATAATATAGTTTGACTATTAAATTACCCTTAACAAAATATTTTAGTCAATTTAAAAGTAAAACTTCCATTCTTTAAAAAAATTAGTTTGTACATTAAGGAGTTTGTTTTTATGACTCTAACATACTTCCTTGTTCATGGTAGTAAATCTCCTTTAGGTTTGTTTTTATAATTGTTTTAGAAATAATGTAGGTGCCATAATTCTAACTACACTAATTAAGTACAATCTAATACTCACTGTCATCATAAACTACGTAACTGGAATTATAAAATACTGTAAAAATTTACCAATATAAAAACCCCAAATACATTATGAACAGGATATTTCAATGAAGCAATTTCATGGTAGAAATTAACAAAATAAGGAAGGACTTCCTATATCATGGCATAATTTTAAATTTATTTTGACTGTTAATATATTTTATTTTATATAGAGTATCTTAAAGGTCAACCTTCTACCATCTTACTTTTTCCAATGACCCTGATTGGTGGGACATTCTGAATGACACTATTAGAGTAGCAACCTAAGAAGCCAGGCTATGAACTGCATGCAGGCGGGACTTTTGTTCACAGCTATCCTGTAGCACCAACAACAGTGTCCACTATACTATGGGCCCTATACAACATCTGTTGATTGAATAAATGGTTAGGCCATTAACTCTTTAATTGAGCCACAAAGCACAAGAACACCCTTATAGCTTACATTCATTATTAATGCAAAATTCTACTGAACCATAACTATACTTCAGATCTCAACAACATGAAATAAAACCTAGCTTGAGAAGAATTTTATAGCAGCCATTATATATAACGATCTAATCATTTTAGAAAATTAGCCTCATTTGCAGGAAATAAGTTTAATAATTTATTGTTCTTAAATTCTTTGGGACATTTATGTTTACTAAGGAGTTTGTTTTTATGGAATCTAACATAATCATCATAAGCTAAGTTTCCTAAGTAGAAATACATAGTCAAGAAACCCATAGTGTTATAACAAATGAGCCAAGGTCTACTTGGCTCATTTCAAAACATATCAGCTCTACTTGAGCTATTTCAAAATATAAATTGCAGTTCAAATAGCTCCTAGAGAGTCCTAAAGAATCAAGAATTTATGAAGTGAAGAGGGCAACTTAGAGAAGTCAACTACTTAGAAATTCCTATTCTGACAGATCTCTCTGAATTTGGTATCATTTTATTAAGGTAATCTAAGATTTACAAATAGTTTCATTTTCTAAAACTAGAAAACAGAAAACTCAGAGAGAAATTAATCTAGCAACCATGGAAAGTACAAGATTTAAAAAACATAAAGCAGATATGACTTATTTTTCTACCGAAGAGCCTTCTTGCACACTATCACAAAGCAACATAGTTTCAGCATAGTTTTTGATGCATAGAGATATCAACCTCTTAATATTAAATATGAAGTAAAAGTTTAAATGCTTTCAAGTAATTTCTCTAACAAGCACAAATCTTCAGTACTAGTAAAAAACAAAAAGCTTAAATGAATTCAACAATCACTGAAAACTCCCTTTAATAATTTCATTAATTACTACAGTTTATTTAACAACTTTCCTGATACATGTGTTTACAATGTGAATGAAAAACTTGTATCCATGGTAAAATGTATTGCCTATTGAGCTATATATCAGACATAAATGAATTAATGTCTGCAGCATAAAAATATTTTGAAGAACTCTATGAATGGAATATATCTAATATGTATTAGCAGAGTCAATCACAGGCCCAAGTTCACTAAAATTCCCTTAGGACAGACACAATAAAGATGAACACTTACTTTTTAATTTCTTCTTCTACTACATTAACTCCATCTTTTTGAGGATTAAGAAACTTATTAGTGGCACTGCCAAAGTCACAAAGTACATAGTTTCCACTGTCATTCAACAAAATATTTTCTACCTTAAGAGAAGAAAATCATTTAATTAGTACTGTTTTCAAAATGATAATTATCTTTTCACAACCATGACCTTACACAATAAACACTGAGGGGTCTGTGACACACACACACACACACACACACACACACAAATATATATATATCATATACATACTATATACATGATGCCTCAAATTATGAGGAAGGTCAAATGAATCAGACCAAAAACATACTTTATTATCTCTACTGCTTCTCTAAGAACAGAGAAGTGTTTCTCTAATCCCGGATGATTTGTGAAGGGGGAAAAAAACCCAAATCCTCTCTGACAGTGCTTCAGTGAAAGAAAAGAATTTGTAGTGGAGTCTATACTATACCTCCATTTTTCCCCATTTCTGACACTTAGTTTTATCTATAGACAAGCAATAGTAAAAACCATTAAAATTCTACCTCTGGCTCCTAATACCATCTTTATCTAAAATACTACTCTGAAATACAAAGACCTGACTTAATGTCTTAATTTGGAGATTAGAGCTGTAGTAACTTAAACAAACAAATCCATGCAGAGTTTGTAGGACAAGAGAGTGTGTATTCACATAGCCCAACTCTGCTACCCACTAGCATGCATATCCATGGACAATTTGCTTAACCACTCTGTGCTTTAGTTTCCAAATCTACAAAATGGGGAAGATAATATCTATTATTGTAAAAATTAAATTAATTAAAACAGGTAGAGCCCTTATAGAACAGTGCCTGGAATAAGGTAAGTACTCAATAAATGATAATATTGTATTTTTTTCCAAAATATTCTTATTTTTATGACACAATCTTGGACAGTAATTCAATTTCTCTCAATTCTATCAAAATATTCACATTACTATTGTTTCTTTATAATTTTCCTCTAGATTTCATTTTAGTCTACCTCTTAAAGATTTACACAAAATAAAGATTTGTACAAGAAATCTAAACATAAATTTGCTTAAATTTACACATGTAAAAGGAACAAAGCATATGCAATATAGCCTGTACAAAATTATGCAGTTCTCTTTTCTGAAAAATATCTACATGAAAAAAGTCAATGATTTTTAGTAATTTTTAATTATCTAAAAAAAATCATACCAAGTTATTAGGGAAATGCAAAAGTTGCATTTTCAAAAGAATGGAAGTAAACTATACTGGTTATCTAAACTAAGGGTCGGGGTCTGCAGTCATGCATTTCAACTTTGTCTTACCTTGTATCCTTTACCATAGATCCCCTGGATGTTTTCATGGTTATAACCCATATTCTAAGTAAGATCTTCTATTCTCTCGTATCTTAAAGAGTGTTTTATTATCACCTTTCATAAATTTTGTGTAATCAGAATTAGGATTCATTCATGCATTATACATTAATTATTGAGAACACTCTATGCACCAGGTACTGTTCTAAATGCTTGGATATATCAATATAAGAGAAAAATCCTTTTGCACATGGAACTTACATTTTAATAGAAAAGCAAATAAACAGTAGGGCTAATCCATAAGCAAATTATATAATATCTTAGTGACAAGTGATAATAAAAGGTAGAGCAAGTGGAGAACAGGAATGTTAAGTTATAACTATATAAGGCAGTACAAGATAGAACTCACTAAGAAAGTGAATCTGAGTAGACTTGAAGCAGGAAAAGGTTAGCCATGGGATATCTGCACATAAAGAATTTCAGGAAGAGTAATTTTTGTAATCTTAGTGTTTGTGGGTATCAAAGAAGACACCTATAGTTTGTTGTTGTTGTTTTTGTTGTTTTAATCCTTACCCAAGGATATGTTTATTCATTTTAGAGAGAGAGAGGAAGTGGGAGGAGAGAAACATCGATCGGCTGCATTCTCTACACACCCCAACCAGGGATCAAACCTGCAACCTACATATGCGCCCTGACTGGGACCAAACCTGCAACCTGCGATGTGCTCTGTCTGGGGATCAAGCCTGCAACCCTTTGGTGCACAGGACAATGCTCCAACCAACTGAGCCACCCAGGTAGGGCAACACCTATAGTTTTACAGGATATCTGTACTGGTATCTCTAGCAATACGATACCAGGAATGTTTAATCCCTTTGGGAGGCTTTTTCCAATGTAACAAGTGGGTATCGTATATTCAGAGTGCACTACAAGGTAAAATGAAGTGATCTGAAAGATAATCACCACCAAATTCCACAGCCAGTCTTCAGATGGCCTCAGGAAATGCATCCAGGGACATGGACCAATGTCAGTGCTGGTAATAAAAGTTGGTTTAGATGAGAATAGCCAAAGAAAATTTTAACTTGAAAGTTTAAAATGCATTACTCCATAATTAGTCTAAATTTCCTACCTTCAGGTCCCGATGAATTATTGGAGTCTGACACTGATGCAACCTCGCAACAGCTTCACAGGTGTCGCAGAATATCTGTAACACTTCCGGTTCCGTAAAACCTGTCTGCAGCTTCTTATTCATCTGATTCACTACCTGCCCAGCTAACCAAAAAAGTGATTTTGAGAGGACATATTTTTAATAAATGCAGTATAGCACAAAGAAATTAAGAAATGCATTTATGGTATCAGGTACTGGGAAATTAGCTTTTTCATAATTTCCCTGTAAGGATGCTTATTATACCATTAAGCATTGATTCAATGGAACACACTTTTTTACATTTTACATTTTAACATGAGAAGATCTTAGATAGACAATGTCCTGCTAATGCTACTGCCTTTTTAAAAACATTTTAACATCTATGAAATTGGGGTATACCTTATTATTGACAACATGATACAGCTTTAAAATGTTCATGCCATTCTGTGCTAATTATTGGGTAAACAGTGAGGAGCCAAAAAAATTTTTCTATTACCATGGAATTTATAGTCAAATGGCAGAGATAAACATTAAACAATCTCACAAAAAAAACATATCATTATTATGTACAATAAGAATAATAGGAGAGAAACCTATATTTAAACTGGTGAAGGAGGATGGGGAAGAGAGGGTATCAGATAAGGCCTGAAGAAGGATATTTATGTTGAGAATGAAGGACAGGCAGGAATTAACCATGAACAGATTTGGAACAAGAGCAAGCTAGCAATAGGGAGTGGCAATTATAAAGGCCTCCAGTTGGGAAAGAGCTTAATGACTTTGAACAACTTAAAGAAAGCCAATGTGTATGTTGTCTAGAAAACAGAAAAGAGAATAAGGTAAGATGACACTGACAAGGTAGAGAACAAACAGAAATACTTTACATTTTAACTTAAGGTCCAAGGAAACTTCTGGATCTAACTTTTTAAACAATTTCCTTGATTGGCGGAAAAGGGAACCACAAGAGTGGAAATGGAGAGATGGGTTATAATACTCCTAAACTAAGTAAGGGATAATGGGCACAGTCATTTACTAAAATCAAATAGCCATACAAGAGCCTTGAGAAGATTATTACTACTACAATATACTAAAATAACTGACAGTCTAATAATAGCAATTCTTAATTATTCAAAAGTTAATGATCATTATATTTTAAGAATATAAGTAAATATGTGACTCATTCAGAAACCATTCTAATAAAAATCAACCTCAGGAATTTAAAAAGGCAAGCTTCTGTTAACATGAAACTTTCTTTTAACAAGGTTGAATAAATGAAATATTTGCTATTTTGAAATCTGTAAGAAGGCGCATGCACACCTGTTCCTTTTATTATCACTGTCTAAACAGCATTCTCATGTATTTTCTAAAATAGTTGCGTTTTTTCTTAGGATTTTAAAGCAAAAGGAACATGACCTTTTCCCTACCAATCTCCAACTCTCAGAAAACTCAAGTCTATTTGGCTGTAATTTGTTCAGGGTACTTCATAAGAGTAAGGCACCTGACCAGGCAGCAGTTTCCTTCATCCTCTTGTCAGACATCCTGACTCACTTTGACCCAAAATTAAATGGGGTGAAAAATTTTTCTTGGTATTCATTTACATTCTTGAAATACCATTTGAAAGCTAAAGAAATGAAAACCTTCAACTCATTCCACCTCTGCTTAAAGATTCCATGTTGTAATGAGTAGAATAAATTTTAAAGAAATGTTAATCCTTTTTCTTCCATTCAGAGATCTTTGAGCTAGAAACCTTGAATCACAAAATTCAGGTCCCCCCAAAAAGCTAAAAGCTGTATTTGAGCTGCATTTCAAATGTAGACACAAAAAAAGATTTTATTATTCAAAATCAAGCTCTTCTGATAATTACATTAAAGTAAGGTTAGTCTAATGAAAAGTAATATTAAAAATATATACTAAAGATCTTTTGAAACAAGATGCATATAGCTCTCGAATCTTCCCATATTTTTCAAACAGGTATCATCTCCTAAACAAAAGCTTTTATACTCTGCCAATTTCATCACTAAAAAAGTCAACATTTTCCTAACCTCTTAAAGTAGTCATCAAACAACCTTGCTATTTCATTATACAACAGAATAATACAGATGTGGCAGGCCTTAAGACCCTCACATGCTCCACTTGCCCTCTTGTGTTTCTACCATCTCCATGGGAAAAACACCCCAGGACAGCCTGGAAGTGCTAGTGCCAGGAAGAAGAGAAGGAGTATGTGAAACCAGTCCCAGCAAACTCACTGGCATGTGAGCAAGCCCAGCCAAAATGAGTAATGTTATCCCACCAAGCTCAGTCTAGAACAGCTGACCCATTGATACACATAAGTAACAATACCTGTTGTTTTATGCTATTGAGTTTTGTAATGTTTTATTATTAAGCAAAACTTAACAGATATATTATTCATAAGAATTGCTGTAGAACACCTCCTAGAAATAAAAGCTCTTTTCATAAAATACAAATATACTCAAAATACCAACTATGATTCCTTAAAGTTTGGTACCTAAAGCCCATAATCTCTTTAACCTATCCAACAGAACAGCAGCAAAGTAAGCAGTGCCACACCATGAACCTGCAGAGATCTAACATTAGACAAAAGATGACTGTAAACATTTGATACTTGAAACCATGGTGAGCTATAAGCTATTTAACACATTCTTCTACTTTCTATATAGTTTTATCTCTACATAATTAAAACCAATGTACTTGAACTATATATACATAAAGTTGATTCCCTCACTAAAGTACTTTCATTCCTCAACAATTTTATGTAAAACAATTAGCTTTTATAGAGGAAGTAAGGAGAGAGCATTTATTTGCCCATTCTCTACCCTTCCATCCCACTGGAAACTTATCGTACTGATTCATCTGAGAAAAGGAGCTGAGCATGCTCTATTGAGATCCTCTGGATTCCTTCAATACATAATTGTCCACTCACGGGTACATTCTGATCTATAGTGCATTCAGTAAGCTTATCTGCTGAAACATTAAAAAAAAAAAAGTTCTAACATAATGGAGAGGGCATTACAGTAAATAGAAAAAATTTCAGAAAAAATACAAATGCAAGAAACAATAAAAATCTTTTTAAAAGCTGCAATTAACATCTGTAGAAAACAAAATACTTGCACATAAAACAAAAGCAAGGTGCATTTTAACAAAGAACAACAACAAGAAAGAGTACTGGAAATTAAAAATAACATGGCAAAAATACAAATTTCTATAGGGGAACTGAAAGATAAATTGAAGGAATGCTTCCAACACAATTAAAATAAAAAAAAAAAAGAAAACCAAAGGATCAATAAATCCAGGAAAACTAATACCCTAAAAATTAAAAGTCCAGAAAGAGAGAACAGAGAAAATGAAAGGGAAAAACTGAGAGTCCAAGAAAAAAAAAACAAACAAACACCAAAATCACCCATAACCAAGGCACAAATACCTGGAAACTTCAGAATACTGGAGATAAAGGAAATGATTCAAAAAGTGTCCATGGGGGGAAAAATAAAATAGGTCACATAAAAAAAACTGAGGAATCACAATGCTTCCAACTTCTAGGAAAAAAAATGAAATAACACCTTCAAAATTACAGATCAAAATTATACCTAACCTACAACTGTTTATCCAGCCACATTAACAAACAAATATGGATGTAGATTAAAATTATTTTTATATGTGGAAGGCTTCAAAAATGTTTTTTTCCATAAATCCATTATCAGAAAGCTGTTGAAAAATGTACTCTATCAAGGTAGTAATAAAAACAAGTGGGAGCCATGAGTAGAAGGGAGTCTTAAGATAGGAGGAAGGCAAAGGGAATTCCCAGAATTACAGCTAAATGTTGTTCAACATTAAACAGAATTAAGTCTCCTAAAGGATATTCCTAAAGAAAGAAAAAATGAAATGGACACAATATTAAAATATTTAAATATAATACATAAAAATTTACATTGGAGAATGTGGGGCTAATGTAGAAAGAAATTAAGCAAATGAAAATCGGCGTAATTATTAACTCCAAGATGAATAAAAACAAGTATAAGAAATACAATTACAGGCAATTACATGTCATAGTTTAATGGCAAATAAAATAATTTAAACACATTATTAATTCAATAATCTAAATCTAATTTAAAATAAATCTGAATCTAATTCAATTCTCTAAAAACTGAGACTCTACTACACTGACAGTTAAATTCTCATCTTTTCTTGGAGATACTGTCTAAAACATAAAAACAGAAAATGAGCAGTACCAAACTTTCAAGAGCCCAGAATCACATATTTCCCGATTTCTAAGTTCCTTCTTTTTCTTTCATACTCTAAAGATCTTACTAAAGCTCTTTAGTAAGAGCTTTACTCCACATAATGCAGTATAGAAATATGAAAGTAAATATAAGAAATATCTCAAAGATTTTTATATGACTTAGCCATAGCTTAACAGATGTACTATTTAACTTTTTAAAATATATAAATGAATAACTTTGATCAAAATAAAAATTTCATATGAAACGAAGCTTGTTGATTCAAACCAGATATTAAAAATTGTTAGGTTTTAAATGCAAACAAATGCCTTCCTTAAAACAAACTGTCCCCTAAAAATGGAAGTTTATTTGGCTCCCATTTTAAAATGTCTTCTGAAGGACAATTAATTAAACTCATCCAGGGTTATAATTCTGCCCACTTCAATTATCTTTAATCAGCTAAGAATCAGAACCAAAAATGCTAGAATTAAGAAAAGTGAGGGAGAGAAAATCCGTATCTTCTCCTTAAAGAGATTGCAATGCTTCACAGTAGAGAAGATGAGATACGAATAAGGGAAAACATCTAACTTCTTGTATTTTATATGGAAATAAGTGACAAATACATCACAATAGATATTACAATGTTAACTCACTCTAGTTCCATCTGTCTTCCCTCCTTACAAGACAGAAGTAAATCAGACCTTATTTTCTCCATCTCCACTACCATCATCCTTCTCCTCCAACCTTCAGGAAATGAGAAGAGTTTCTGGTATCATAAATAACAATTATAACTGTCTTAAGAGAATCCAAATATAAACCAGGACTCCCGAGAGCCCAAATTGCCAGGTATAGTCTGATTCTTTTTTAAGTTTGTAAGAAATATATTAATTGCTCCCTTCACATATTAAAGTAAAAAAATTCTCAGGGATTTTTTTAAGTTATCATTATTCTTAAGGTATACAAGTAATTATTTATTTAAAAATACCACATTAGGTCCAAATAAAATGTGGTTTCCTATCTTCTGATATTTACAAAAGAATTCCAAAATGCCAAATAATACAAGTTTATAAAAATTCCAGATCAAAATATATCCTCCAAATTTATTACATTTAATATGTTGAAAGATAGCATGGTAGAATGATGGAAAAATATCTTCTAACACTAATATTGATATATTATGCTCTTCTTGATTGGATTCTAAAAGAACTGTATTGGAAGCATGAAGTGCAGGTGCTCTTTACCTGCTTAGATTGTCTGTTTTAAACCCAACAGCATTTTTCTTTGTCATTTACCTAGTCATAGCATCATTGCAGCAACTATAACTAGGTTTTAAATATTTTTTTAACAATTTGGGGGTTTTTTAAAGATCTTATTTATTTATTTTTAGAGAGAGAGGAAGGGAAGGAAAAAGAGATTGAGACGATGGGTGGCATCTTGTATTCCCCCAACCAGGGACCTGGCCTGCAACCCAGGCATGTGCCCTCACTGGGAACTGAACCAGTGACCTTTTGGTCTACAGGATGATGCCAAATCCACTGAACCACACCAGCCAGGGCGATTTTAAATAATTTTAACAGCATTCCCTAGTTACATAGATAATCAAAGCTGAGATTGCAATAACTACAATAAGGTGACACCTAGTAACCCACTTTAAAGTCATTTTTTTTTTAGTATAAAACAAATGCAGAAAAAACACTTACCTCGACAATATTCCATTAAGATGAGTACTTCCCATACATTATCACTAATTGAATTAACAGCACAGTCCAGATAACCCACAATATTTTTGTGACCAGATAGCTCTTTCTGTAAAAAAGGAACAACACTCTAAGAATCAGAAAAATATACATTTTAAAGCTCTATCATTAGTAATGCTTTGAAGTCTCAATTAATATATTTACAGAATTTCAAAAATTAAAACTTAGGCATGAGATATAATCTGACATATGTCAAAAAGGTTTCTACAGTTCCAATGGAAAGTACTTAACATGTGACTGTCATTTTCTGACAGGCAAATTATTCAGTGAATACTTATTTTTAAATTCAATCAAGAAGATGGTTCACTCAAAAGTAATAGTCTCCAAAAGTGAATGTGCAAGATAGTCCTTAGGGACTCAAGGACAAAATATCAGAATTTTTACTAGATTTATTTTTATCTAAAAAAAAAAAAATTAAGCTATAATACAGGGACTGGCAAAAGTAGGTTTACAGTTATGGTTACAGGAAACACAAAGTTGATTCTTGTATTATAACTTATTAATTATTGTATTTTTCATACAAACAACTGTAAACCCATTTTTGCCCACCCCTGTATTTACAAAATAATAATTATGCTCATTTGCTTGTTTTGCATGCAATATATTGCGGTTAATGTGTACCTAGTTAAGTGGATCTTTAAATATATGTGCCATTAATAATGTAAAAAATAAACAAGTGGCCTAAAAAGATTTCTGTAAAGATACCATAAAGATAATACTAATAATACAAATATAAGGAAATAATAAGAAAATGACAAATCTGACACTTTTGGCTCTTAGTAAGAGATAACCACCAGCATATACTGAGGTTTAAAATAATCATGATCTAATTAGGTTTACCTAGAAATTAAAAAACAATTATCAAGAATACAATTTTAAATAAATTTACACCCACTATCATTAATAATAAACCTAGTTTTAACTGTGTAATGTAATTTGAAATATCTGCAATGGCAGCTGAACATGTCATTAATTCATAAATAAATAGACAAGATGGGAGATGGGTCATCAAAAAAAGTTGGAAGATCACTGCTCTAAAGAGCTAATTTCCCTAAAATAACTTGTTCAAAAGCATAAGATTTGAGTGTCGCTACAGTTGATGATGACTACAAGAGAGGGAACACTCCCCCCAGAAAAAGGAATTTATAAAAAACTGTGTATTTGTTCTTACACATGTAAACTTCAGTCACTTTCCAAGTATTCTCTATTTGATGCAATACAACACCTATAAAGACATTTTTCCCCCTGCTCAAAACAGTTTTTGTACTCATCAATATGAATGCTTCCGTCATTTTTTGTTTCACCTCTTCCACATCAGCAAAACATTTCCATTTGAGGACTTCTTTTCATCAAGGGAGAGATCGGGTGAATAGGGAGGATGGGGCATGGGGCTCATGCCATTTTTGGTTAAAGACTGCTGAACACTCATTGCAGTGTAGGCAGGTGTACTTGTAAATCACCCAGCATGAAATGAGCAAATGCACTGAATGTCTTCAAAAAAAAATTCACTGAAGCCACACACCCTCTCACAACTCCAGCTGGTGCACTGATACAGATGGGTTCCTAGAGCACTCACCTAGCAGGGGAAGCCTGCACTTCCAAGGGCTCACCCTCCAGCAGATACGAAAATAATTCCAGTTTTTTGGGGGATCACCCCTTGTATTTTATATCTCTAAATTATACACATTCTACTTAAGGAAAAATTACGGCACAAAAACACCATATCTGGGCTCAAGTTAGAGAACTTGGCCTAAGATTCACCAATTATCTTGGGGTAAATCTTTTTACTCTTTTGGCTTATAGCCTTACCTTGAAAAAATTAAGTCTCAAATCTAAGGAGTTAGGGACAACTAAAGCAAAACTCAGACGAGTCAGACTGTATAAATGTGCCTATCTTCAAATAAAAGGGATCAAAATAGGTGTGATAATAAAGACGTTGATTAAAAAAATAAGGAATCCCCCTCTTAGCAACTGGATGAGTAAGACTGACATTAATAACAAGCATGGGAATACAAGGATGTGGAAAAACTGGAACATTCATATATAAATGTCTAACCATTACTCCTGTACACCTAAAACTAATATAATATAGAATGTCAACTATAACTGAAAATAAATTTTTTAAAAACTAGATAATTCATACATTGCTGGCATGAATATAAAATGACTCAGTTACTGTGGAAAACAGTGTAATGATTCCTTAAAAAGTTAAATGCAGAATTACCATATGACTCAAGAATTCCACTCCCAGGCATATACCCAGTAGAACAAAAACAGGTATTCAAACAAAAACACATACACACATACTCATAGCAGCACTATTTACAATAGCCAAAAGGCAGAAATAGCCCAACTGTTCGTCAATCTTTTTTTAAAAAGTCCAACAACAGATGAACAGATAAACAAATGTGATACAAGTATGTACAGTAGAATATTATTTGGCCATAAAAAGGAATGAACGATATGCTATAATGTCAGTAAACCTCAAAAACAGGCTAAGTGAAAGAAGCCAGATGCAAAAGGTCACATAGTACATGACTCCATTTATAAGAAATATTCAGAACAGGTAAGTCTAAAGACAGAAGGTAGACAGGTGGCTGTCAACAGCTAAATCAAGGGGAGAACGGAATGCAACTGCGTAATGGGAAGAGGATTTCCATTTAAAGTGATGAAAAGATTTTAGAACTAGATCAAGGTGGTGGTTGCACAAGCATTGTGAATATACTAAATGTCACTGAATTGTTCACCTTAAAATGGTTAATTTTATATTATTGAGAATTGTACCTCAATAAAAATTTTTTAAATATATATATATAAGCACTTGATAAACAGTAGATGAGGAAGAAGAGAACAGAACAAAAGAGGGGAGGAAGAGGGAGAGTGGGACAATAATATAAAGAAGCCATTAAGAATAAGCAACCCTAGAAGAAAGGGAATATTCACTTTGCAATTTTTTTTACTCTTCAGTTAATTGAGTAACTGAAATTTTCTTGAATGGCCTATAAAATACTTTTTACTTTTCCTAATATTTATTTATTTTTAACAATTTTATTTATTTATTTTGAGAGAGAGGGAAAGGGAAGAAGAAAGAGAAACACCAATGTGAAAGAGAAACATCAATCTGTTGCTTCTCGCATGCCCCCAACTAAGGACCTGGCCCGCAACCCAGACATGTGCCCTGACCAGGAACCAAACCAGCAACCTTCTGGTTTGCAGGATGGCACTCAATTCACAGAGCCACAGCAGCCAGGGCTTAATATTTAAAAAGAATTTTTCTTTTGCTGAAGGATACCTTATATATTGCAGAGTACACCAATAAACTAAACAACTTTATAGCATGATTTTAAAAATAAAAAGCAAACCTAATTCTTGTCTGTGAATACAAACACATACAGTGAATATATTGAACACTCGGAGGAATGGTAAACGCTAAACTCAGGACAAGGGTTTGTTTTCAGATAATTTTCCAAGTTAATTTAATGATGTTCAAAGGCTTTCTAGACATGCATAAAGCAATAAGCAGCATGCCTAAAAGCTAGTTAATGCCATAGTGCAAAACCAAAAGAAATTAAACCAATTTTTTAAACATAATTATTCTTTTACTTACCATAATTTTAATTTCCCTTTTACAAATGTTGAGGTCTGGCAAGTTATTGACATACATTCGCTTCAATGCATGGCGGGCTCCACCATGAGTCCGCACCAGGAAAACTGTGGAAAATCCACCTAGAAGGACAAATATTGATTAATTAAAATGAATCAGCAACTACTGCCAAAATCATGTATATGGTATAACATTGATTGTTCTCAATTAATGTCTCGATTTGATAGCTATCAACTTCAATTGCTCTACCCAACCGTGGAGTATCGTCCAGCAAGAAATCTCCAGCACAAAACTTCGCAAAGCACTTTTGACACATTTGATCAGTCACAGCACCTTCTCCACACACTGCACAAATCTTTTTTTGCATTTCAGTTGCATTTTTAACTTTCTTGAAATAATAAAGCATAATGTCAAAAATGTATATTTTCTTCCATATTCAATATGAAAATGACTACACAAAAATTCATCAATTTTGCTAAGTTTTTTTAAATGCATACTGATAGGACACCTGTCACAATACGAATCTAACAAAATTGTTTTGAATGAAGTTCAAGACAACAAAGCTCTGCTTAGTTGGCTAGAGCCATCTTATGGGGGAAAAAAAATGAAAGAACTTTTTGCCCAACCCAATAATATCACTGAGGAGCATAATCTCAAAGGGAAATGAATGGACTATACCCAAGACAAAAATAAGAACATTCAGCAAGTAACAGATTAGACTGAAACCCATGACACTGGCTTCCTGTGCCATCATGAAGTAACACTTAGAGGATAACATGCTTCTCAAATGAATATGCATGTGTGTTAATGGTTAAAATACCAAATATCACTTTGCATGTGGATGTTTTTTATGTAGTGTGTGGAAAATGTCACATAAATTAATATTATAGTTTGGCATATACTAGGGATCGCCTACTCATCAGCCTCTGCCTCTTCTGTGATGACAACACACTAATGTTGTTTAAGATGAAACACCAATGGAATTTACTGGGTGGGTCCCTCCTCTGGTTCCAGGGGATGAGCCAATATTTTTCGGAGGTGATAATGGGAATCCTATTTTCTCTTGTCAGTGACTTACTTAGGATTGGGGGTAGAATTGGTTTTTCTTAATGGGACCTAAGAGAAAGTCTGCTGAGGGTTGCAGGGAGATTTTTCTACCCAAGAAAAAAGGAGAGACTTGTAGAAAAGGTCATGTTCGTTCTTCCAGCTTAGGATTTTTTGGTATAAGAATATGACGTTTAGACCTACTGCAGCCATCTGTGGCCACTATGGGGATGAGAATCAGAGAAAAAAAATGATCCAATTAGAATACTGAATTAGATAACTCTGGAACCACCTCCTTCCGTAACTCTTATATGAGATGATAAATGTCCTCATTAGTATTTACTTCACAGTTATTCAGACAATCTGTTAACTGCACCTGGCAAAGTATATTGTATCTGAAGTACACAATTAAGTATTCTAAAGAACAATTACTTCTGACACATCTAAACAAAGATATCCACCTAAAGTTTTAAAAACTCATCTTACCATAGATTACTTATAGCTTAATTAGAGTTTAAAACAAAAAGTAGTGTATCACTTTTATCAATTTGATTGCCCTTATAAAGAAGCATCCTGAGCAATGCTAAGTCAAAGCAGTCAAACAAAAAGTTAACTACTGGGTATAAACAATGGGGAAAAAAAGAAATATGAGGACACTCCTGAATCAGTAGAAAATCATTCCAGATCCACCAAATCTTCCAATTGCAGTTATCAGACACTACAACAACTACCACCTTATAGATTTAGGTTTCCATGATGAAGTAGGAGAAATCAAATCGACCGAGAAAGACAAAGATGTTTGGAAAAGGTACTTTTAAGTAAAAGCTCTAGCAAGGTAGGACATTTCCTTCAAAGAAGTTAACTTAGCATTAATTTCATATGCATACATTAACCAATTAGTAGCACTAATGAAGTGTTAAACTACCCAAGTTTTATTTGATTAAAAAACTTTAAGAAAAATGCTGAAAGTTAGAATAAATCTAGATACGGAGGTAGTATAAATATAGGTCAAGATGAATCATTTAAATAGCATTTGTTCTGAAACATTTATCTAGAGATTCCCCTAGAACAATGCTTTCCAATCTCAGGTATGCATCAGAATTGCCTGGTGAGCTGGTGTGTGTATGTGAGAGTTTATCTTAAAAAGTTCCAGGTTCTGATTCCAAGTATGAATCAAAAACTCTCAGCAAAACCCTTGTATATGGGGCCTGGCAGAAGTTATACCTGCTTGAGTGTGGTTGATAAGGTAATAATATGGGTAATAATTTAGTTTTAATTTGAACATTTCACCTAAAATGTCATATGGTGTGCTTGAGTGTGATATTATGTTACATAATTACATGCTTATGATTTTGTAATAAAAGATTCTGTAATAAAAAAGGGGCGCTACCTGCACCAGACCCTGTATATACATAATGCTAAAATCCCACTACTTACTATATTATTCTACTTTTGTGCATGTTCTTATAGATATATGGTAATGTAAATTCCTTATTAAGTGGGGAGAGGGGGGAGTCCTCAAGATGATTCTGATGCACAATTAAGTTACGTAGCCATTGAATCAAAAGTAAACCATGGTCCTACATATCCATTCTTAATCACCCACCAAAGTTTAATTTTATCCCTGTAAGTTACAAAAACTAGGGGAAAATATTCACTAAGTCTTCTAATTTATAAAATTCATTTCTGAAAGTTAAAGTTTTCCAATTCCACTAATGCTAAAATTAAACACAGGCCTGGCCCAATGTTAAGTATTGTCCATAAAGATAATGTGTCCCTCAATACTGTATTTACACAGTGTTTAAATACAGTGTTTACCTAAACATGTAAATAATGATCATTGATGGGGCTTGCTTTGAGAATGAAATGGCATCATTTGGTTCTCCAGATACTATGATCCAGATCATTTGGTTCATCCAGAATTTTCTGATTCAGTATGAAGTTAGCTAATATTATTTCTCTTTGAAGAATGTATTTAGTGGAAGGTAACTAGTTAAGACATTTTAGTAATCCTAGGGAAGCGTATCATCTGCTTGCTACTAATCCATATCTCCCAAATTCTTTATCACATATTTTTCCTCATAGAAGTCTCTCATGAGCAACCCAATGCATGCCCATCACTTCTTCAGGCACCCACAGTAAGAGTTTTGTCTATATTACCATGTATGTCAATTCTCAACTCATTTCTTACAAAAGTCAAAAGATTACTAGCAGTAACCAGAAATTCCACTTATATATTTCTATGTCCAATTCAATATATAGTTCGAGTCCAATTCAATGCTAAATTTATAATTCCAAATAGGAGATTATAAAAGTATTATAAAGCATTCTGCCCCAGCTGATGTAGCTCAATGGACTGAGTGCCAGCCTATGAACCAAAGGGTCATCAGTTCAATCCCCACTCACGGCACATGCCTGGGTTGCGGGTCAGGTCCCCAGTAGGGGGCGCACAAGAGGCAACTGCACAGTGATGTTTCTCTCTCCTTCTTCCCTTCCCCTCTCTCTTTAGATAAGTAAAATGTTTAAAAATAAAAAATAAAGTATTACAAAGCATTCTAAATGTTCTCAAAATACCATAAAAAAAGGAGTGACAGATGTTGGTCTGACAGAATAAAAAGAAAAACAAATGTATATTTATAAAAGTCAGTATGAAAAGGAAAATAACTGGTAACTTTTGTAACCTGTAAATCATAAACTATAGGCATTCCCTCCCATCTGTGTGTACATACTCTGGAGAGCAATGGTTCTCCCCTGGATTTTTCCAGGGCAGAACTTACATTAGGCATGTGAATTGATTCCTGCATAACAAATCTCACCTCTCCTCTCCCCACACATACAAGAAGTATTCAGATTAAAATGAAGGAGTGGCTTTATTAAGCCAACCTAAATTTGCTTCAATTAGTAGTATTAAAATAATAACAATGTAGCTTGCACCTGACTGTATACCACCTTGGAAAGCATTGCTCTGAAGATGCCATTGCCCTTAGTAACCATATTGAACATAAAGCCTGTATTTCTACAGACTAACATTTCTTCCTGGTAAGCCATTATTTATTCCTATTAAGTTATTGTTTTTCCATGCTTTAATTTGTCTTATTTTTAACTTAATTACATGTATATATATTTCCCCTTGAATTTGTCTAGAAAGATAACACAAAATAATAAAAAAGGATTTCATATATGGTAGTTATTATAATTACTACTACTATTATTATGCTGCTGTTATTAATATTACTCCAGCTTATGAAGGTTAGACTACACATTTTATTTATTTTTTCCATAGAGTACCTTTTATTTGCAGTGGCTTATTTTGTTTGGCTTATATAGTGTTCTATTTTTTGTAAGTATATTTTATTGTTTATGTTATTACAGTTGTCCCACTTCCCCCCCCTTTGGCGCCCTCCACCCAGTACCTCCCTTCCCTCCAGCCATCCCCTCCCCCGCTCCTCTGCCTTCCTGCCCCAGTTCATGGCCATGGGTCATGCATATAAGTTCTTCAGCTTCTCCATTTCCTATGCTATTCTTAACAACCCCCCCGTCTATTTTGTACCTACCAATTACGCGTTTTCAGTCCCTGCTCCTTCTCCCCCTTTCTCCCACTTCCCTCTCCCAGCTGATAACCCTCCAAACGATCTCCGTATCTGTGATTCTGTTCCTGTTTTGGTTGTTTGCTTAGTTTGTTTTTGGTCTGTTTTGTTTTTAGATTCAGATGTTCATAGTTATGAATTTGTTGCCTTTTTAATGTTCACAGTTTTCATCTTCTTTTCCTTAAATAAGTCCCTTTATCATTTCATGTAATAATGACTTGGTGACGATGAACTCCTTTTGTTGTACCTTGTCTGGGAAGCACTTTATCTGTCCTGCCATTCTAAATGATAGCTTTACTGGATAGAGTAATCTAGGTTGTGGATCCCTGCTTTTCATTGCTTTTAATACTTCTTGCTAGTCCCTTCTTGCCTGCAAAGTTTCTTTTGGAAAATCAGCTGATAGTCTTATGGGTACTCCTTTGAAAGTAACTCTGCTTTTCTCTTGCTGTTTTTAAGATTCTCTCTTTATCTTTAACCTTTGGCATTTTAAT